TGCATTTACATTCGCTTGGCCTCGTAAAACTTTCAACGTTAAAATATTACTCGCACCCGCCTAATCGTGCATTATTTACTTCTTTCGAATCCGTGTCCACGTGGAACAACACCACCAGCATCCACGCGTATACGGACATTGCTTGAAAAAAACATCATAAAGTTACATGAAAACTGGACGATATGAATGCGGAATATAGGAATGGAAACGCGGCATAATGCCCCCACGAGGTTATCCCTTTTTCGCTGGGCGCAACCGTCACTCCCTACTTTCGACGGTTTTTTCTCCTCCCCCTCCCAAGCGACACTTCAGCCAATAGTCTGTGACGACGATGTCGCTTCGATCGCCTTCGCTCGCAAGCCGTCTCGCTCTACAGCTAGGAATCGACCTTGGCGTCCGTCTTTCTCTCTCTCTTTCAACCGTTAACGCCATCGCTTCCCTTGGTCGCGACCACCCCACCCTGCCCGCCGCAACATCAATCGCTCGCTCGCTCACTCACTCACTCTCTCTCACTCACTCTCTCTCTCTCTCTCTCTCTCTCTCCCCTCTCTCGCTCACTCAAGCTCGCCATCCTTCTTTTATCTCTCTCTCTCTCTCTCTCTCTCATTCTCGCTGCCTCTTTCTCGCTCTCACTCTCGCTCTATTACACTCTAGCTGCGTCTCACACGGAGCACAGAGAAGAAGCGAACACGTCTGCGGCCTGCTCGCAGCGCGTTGAAGAGAAATAGAGGCAGTCGAGCGGACGAGGACTAGCGAGAGTGAGAAGGACGCTAGACAATCAGGCTTGACGCAACGAGCCCGACGCGACGCAAGAATCGCTGCGAAACTATATAGCCGCTCTCTTTCTCGGCCCTCGGCGACGACCGGGCTGCAGACTGAGACAGACATATTAGAATCGTCTTGTGTCTGGTCCGCGGGCTGCGTATAATACATACGCAAAGAAGGACGGACAAACGACGAGTGGCAGAAAGAGAGAGGGCAAAGTGCGCGGGCGAAAGGGAAGCCGGGCGGGAGAGAGAGAGAGAGAGAGAGAGAGAGAGAGACCGACAGACGGACTGCAGCCGTCGGATAAACGACACGACAAAGAGGGAAGGAGAGGTAGAGAGGAAAGAAGAGATCCTGAGACAGAGACACGACGAACGTCGTCGGATCACGGGAGCGAGACAGCGAGAAACAGAAGAAGGAGTGATACACCTCCAGAAACGAGAAGACACGATCTCGATGTACACATAACGTGTATATCCTTGGAAGTAAGCAAAAGCTAATATTGCATATCTACTTTATTCGTACGCGGGACTACTAGTTTATTCCTCTTCCCCTCCAGCACCCTTCGATTTCCCATTCGCCCGGGTAATTGGGTGTTTGAGAATCGAACGTTAAATGCGATAACGAAAAAAGAATAAAACCGATGAAACGCGTCAAGGATGGGGCGGGGAGAACGGACTAACGCTCTCAATTTTTTCGTGGTATTCACTAAGGGACAAGAACGTGCTGCAAATTTCCATTCCCTACTTTTTCGGGGCTCCCGTCTCGTTAAAGAACGGTATAGATTCTCAGGAGAGCGAGAGAGAGTGTGTGTGTGAGAGAGAGAGAGCTAATCGCATCATCGTTCAATTTAAAATCCTGTCCTTCCGAAATTTGAAATACACGTATTATAAATCCGAATACAAAAATGGTGATGTCGGCGGTCGCGATCGAGTGACAGAGGGCCACGGATAAATAAGTAATAAAGAGAAAAAAAAGGCTGATAAAAACGTTTCGGTGAATTGACAACGGTAAAAAAAAAAACCGAATATAAAAAAGCTCCCTTCTCTATCGTGCTCGTACACCGTCGCAAGGCCTCTCCTACCCTTTCTTCAATTGTAATGCCAGTCTCTTTTAACCTCTCTCCGTCTCTCTCCCTCCCTCTCTGTCAGTCAGTCTCGGTTTCTCTTCTCATTCTCTATCTTCCTCCCACCCAACCCAACATTCTGGGATAATAACGAAGCGAGCTGGTGGCTGCGCAGGCGTCGAGTGCGCAGCTCTTTCGGGTCAGCCAAAGAGAAACGGCAGCAGGTAGATAAAGAGAGAGCGAGCGCCAGCGCGAAATATATATATATATATATATATATATATATATATATAGAGAGAGAGAGAGAGAGAGAGAGAGAGAGTGAGAGAGAGAGAGAGTGAGAGAGACGTGCACCTTAATCGGGCGTTGAAAAAAGTGGCGGCGGTAGCGCGTCGCTTCGCGCGCACGTATATTACCCAAGCGTGGTATATGCTACTTGGAAGAAGCGCGTGAGGGGAAGGACGCGGGATTCACACGGTGGTTAGAGAAGGACGCAACCGCCGGCGTCGGGACACGGAGTTGTTCCGTCCTCTTTCTCCCTTCCTCCGCCTGCATAGGCCTTGGTGTCGCTGCTCGTCCGTTTTCCCAACGAACGATAACAGAATATCTGTGATCCGTACCTTTCGGCACCGTACGAGAAAGAGGATCAGAGAAAGAGAGAGAGAGAGAGAGAGAGAGATAGTTAAATAGAGCGAGACGAGAAAGAGGATCAGAGAAAGAGAGAGAGAGAGAGAGAGAGATAGTTAAATAGAGCGAAAAGGACAATCATCGACTGTCGATTCGTCGTTGTGTTTGCGTTTTACGAGCGGAACACCCGTGGTAACACACACCGCGAGTGAGCACAAGAAAAAACTAAAATAAACGCGCTGCGAGAGCAATGTTTATTCACGGCTAGTGGTCTGCCGGCTTTTTTCGCGCGCGCGCGCGCGCGTGCACCAACACATCGGCATTGTCGTCACCGCCACCGCCTCCTCCATCTCGCTCGGACTCGCGCGCCTGCGTATACGCGCCTCCTAGTCCGTGTCCTCGCGTGTGTCTGTGCGTGCGTGTGCCGTTGGTGGCCGGGTTGAGCCTGCTCGAGCTCAAGTGCACAAGTTGGAATAGCGACGACACGACGCGAGCGAGACAGAGCGAAGGCTTCGTTTCGTAAGCCCGCGTTTTTCACGAGAAGAGGAGAGAAATGCGAGACAAGAACGAAACGGGAGATTAAGCATAACGCGGGAATCGCGCTATCTCGGCCTCTTTTTGCCATCCTCTGTGTATGTTTGTCAACGTTTATATGTGCGTGTGTGTGTGCGCGCAGGCAGGGAAGAGGTAAGAAGTGCCAGTGCCGCGCGCGCGCGTGTGCGTGCGTCCAAGACGGTGCTCGACGAGCGGAGAGATAAGGAGTGAAAAAAAGGGGCGCCGCGCGGCGTCAACATGGCTACGCGACACCGTCCCGAGGAACAACGGCGCTGCAGCGACGTCGGCGCCGTCGGCAGGTCGAGCAGCGGCAACTTGACGAGGCTCCGGAGATAGGAGGCCGGCCGCGGATAACCCGAGACGACACCACGTCCCATGTGAGTCCGTGTGTGTTCAACCGACTGCCAGTCCCGCTTCTCTCTACACGACCTCACTACCCCGTCTGTCTACTTACTCTCGCTCTCTCGCTCTCTCGCTCCCTATGCACGCTCGCACTCTGAAGAGCGCCTCTGTATCTTCATCTCTTTCCCACCGGCACATTTATTCTCTTCTCTTTCTTCACCTCGATTTATCTCCGTTCTTCGAATCCTCTCCTTTGCCCCTATGCCCGTAATGAGCATCTACGAATATATGTAGTGTGCGCGCACACGCACAACTGCCAGCTTCTTTTTTCCTTTCTCCTTCATATATATATTTATCAGTTTTCTCTTCTACAACCTTTCGTTCCAACCTGTACGTTTTACATGCCTCCCGTGACGCCCATCCACGACAAATATTTCAAATAATGCTATAAATTTGTAATATTACTCATGTGTAAAATATATAAATTGCATGAGCTGGGACAAACAATCGAATATGCCATCTGTTCCTTTTGACTTAATAGCCCTGTCATATTTCTCTATACCTATACTATATACATACGACATATGCATGTACACGCAACACGCAGGCGCACACATAAATACCTATACACAAAAGCCCGCAGATGCAACTGTATCTGTTTATTGAATTACTGTTTACCATATTATGTGCGCGCGCGCGCTACATCCATTTATAGTTGTATACACATAATATATTGAAATGTATTCGTGCTCTGCTTTCGGCTTCATTAGTTGGCATTGCTTTTAATGATATTCAATCCCATCCGTGCATAAACAATTTATAAATATAGTAATTTTCAGTGGATTACACCCACCCATCCGTAGACAGGCACACGCACGCGCATTCTCTCTCTCTCTCTCTCTCTCTCTCTATCTCTCTTCGACTCATTAATTTTATCTGGTCTTGAAATATATGTTTCCACTTACAAACGTGCGTCCAATATACTTTGTATCTCTCTCTCTCTCTCTCTCTCTCTCTCTCTCTCTCTCTCTCTCTTCCTCTTCTTATTTTTCTCTTCTCGTTTATAATGAAGAACGTATTGAAAGTTGGAAATTGTCAAAATAATTACCGAGACTTGATTTTGTAAGGAAACTCATTGTACTGTGCTTTACAAGACGGTGTTTCTAAATTTGAGACAAAATTTTAAGCTTTCTGCGTCCAATATACTTTGTGTCTCTCTCTCTCTCTCTCTTTCTTTCTATTATATATATATATATATATATATATATATATATATCAAGCCCGCGTATCTCCTCGGTTTTAAAGCAGCAACGTCTACAGTTTTTGCTTTCTTAACTTTTATTGTTCAGGCCTCTTGTATTCATTGAATGTTGCCTTTTAAAGTTATGCTTTATTAAAATTGCATAGATATCATTATCAAAAAAGCATTTAAAATCTTAACATGCAAAATTCAATTCAAACGACCATTACACTATCATACGATTCCAACACAATAAACATAAATTGTAGACGCAACCGCACGAGGTCGCTACGTATACCCCCTCCTTCCTCCAGCCCCTACACGCGTAATATCTTTCTTCTCTCTCTCTCTCTCTCTCTCTCTCTCTCTCTCTCTCAACCTCTCTCAACCTCTCTCTTTCACGTTCACGTTCATAAACGTACACGGGACAGGAGCTACAACTAGGCCCGTAGAAGTTGGTTGCGCGCGCCCCTACTATATGCATGTGCTCATGTGTGTCCCTCTTGGTCACGAGACTGAGGGTAGGGATAAGCTTCAACTAGGCGTCTTTCTCTTTCGGCTTGGTCGTCCCGCCTCGGCGCGGCCATTTTCCTTCTCTGTTTGCTGCTTTGCTTCACTATACGAGCTAGAGAGAAGGAATACACAAGAGAGTAGGTATAATACCTATATATACATTCGCCCAGAGTTGCTCTCTCTGACTCTCCTTTTCTCTCTCTCTTCCCTCGCCCTCTCCTCTCTTTTTCGCCTGCATGTATCACACTACGGCCATTTCGCATTGTCTCTCTTATACCTCCGCCGTTGCAGTGAGACACATAATACGCACATGAACGCGCCGTGTGTATATATGCATAATAGATATACTCTAATCCCTGTGTGCAAAAGAAGCGCCTGAGATATTTTTCCTATCTTTCTCTCGAATATCCCAACAAATGCCATCTCCCCTGCTTTTTGTTCTGTCTCGGTGACGGCGTCGCCTCTCACCCTTGGCCGAAGTTCCCGTCCCGATTCACTAACTACCAAACACACATCATGTCTGACACGCTACTATTCCTTTTCCAAATCTCGTTCCTCTCGCTTTTGGCGCGATATGGCGCATAGTCTCTGTCCCGTAAACGACTCTCTTCATCGTCACTCTTCTTCCATTCGCTCTCTCTCTCTCTCTCTCTCTCTCTCTCTCTCTATCTATCTATCTATCTTTCTCATAATTTTCTCTTTCTATCTTTGTTGCGCACTGTTTTTCCTCCATCTCGCTCTTTCTCTTGTGCATCTGCATTTCTCTTTATTGCCCACCTTTCCCTCTGCTCTTACTCTTAAACGTTCGCGTGTTATTTATATATAATACAATTATTTCATTATGTTTTTTACTTTTTCTTTGTATTTTGCTTTCTTTCTCTATTTCATTCTTTCCCCTTCTTATATATATATGCAACAATCGTGATGGATAATATTGGTACTTGTGAATATTTGCAAAATCTATTCAGATGTCAAAAAATGTAGAAAGTGTTTTCTCCTATAAGGACTTGCTTCTGATAGACTAATGTGCAAATATCTTATTAAAAAGTGGAATTCTAAGAGTATATTGTGCAGGCCACGTAATTTTAAACATTTACGTACAGACTGAAATCCATTCCAAACCACCCGTCATGATTAAGGTAATCAACGAGTGATAGAAGTCTTAGATTCCAAATCTACTTCTTGTTTGTCGTTTAACTACTCAATGCCATAAATATTGATTCACATACATAATTAATATACAAACTTCGTTTGGCTCCTTTAGCTTTCTAATTGTGAGGTCTAAACTTACTGTCCTATACATAAATCTTGTGTATCAAATCATTTTATAATTTATTTATCAGCATTAATTACCATATTTCTATATTAGATTAAACATTAAATATTAAGTACAGTGACGACGCTTTAAATCTAATTTAAGTATAGAAAATTTGAAATTGAATTTTAATCAAAAACAAATGTAGAAATTTATGAAAATTCAAATTGTAATTTTACGTGTCGATGTGCATGCCGGTGTTATAAAGAAAGTTGGTTAAAGAATTTTTTATAAAAATCTATAAATTATAATACTTTATTTTATAGTGCGTATACTTTTTAATAATAATAAAAGCTTAGGAAGTAATAAATAACTTAATTTTTTCTATTTTTATTTTGAAAATATTAAAGGCCCTTTATTTATTTAATTATAATAATTTCATTATTTAATATTCACAAAGTTTATGCATTAATTAATCATTGGTTGGGATTCTTTGTTTATAATTATTTTGTTTTACTTTTAAATTTTTACATTAACATTTATGTTATCCATTGTCTTGAGGGTACATCGATCTTCTACTCCAACTTATATTTAATATTGTGCAATAATTTATAGAGAATTTAATTTGTTTTTAAACTTTTAGGAAAATATTTTATTAAGCCATAAAATAAAATATTATTATACATTATTTTAATAATGTTAATAATTATTAGAAATATTTCTTGCGATTCATTCGTTTTGAAAAGGTGATGGAAGATTTATGTAATATGAATTATAGTTTTCATTTGTACATTTATCTATTTGATAGTTCACTATTTAATTGTTAATCTAACTTTTATATATAATAAAGATATGATTGATACAGGCAAGCACCTTTTAATCACTAATCAATTACTTTCAATTTGCATAAATAAATAGAAATCAAAACTTAAGCAGACAAATTTGTGAAAGACATATATTTGTTAATATAATGCATTCCTTGGAGAGCTCTATTTATTTCTGTAACGTTGCTGTTACCTATTAATTGTGCAGGATTGAAGAGCAGTACATCAATGGCTCTAGAGTCGAATGGTAACAACGTGGTGTGGTTGAACACAACGCAAGCCGATCAAATACAGCAGGTATGCGCTGCGTTTGAGTAATGAAAAAAAAAATGTACATAGTACAAAAGGAAACACACAGTTCTAAAAAGGATTAATATTGTTTATTTATCCTTTGTATGCATTGCTGCTTGTATCTTGAGCTTCAATGTGATTGTTATAAAGGCTGTTGAACGCAAAATTATTAAAGGAAAAATACCCAAAAGCAAAAACTGAGTAGACAAACAAACTAGGGAATGTTTAGAATTTTGTGAAATAATGAAGACGAGGTGTATATGTAATGTAATATACGAGGTGTATAGATTTGAAAATAAATGTTAAATTAAATTAAATGTGAAAAATCTAACATGTTTTAAAATTTAGCAGGGCCAACAAATTCAGGCACCAGTGAAGTGTTCCATGTTTACACAAACGGAGCAGACCAACAGCTTCACACAAACTGAGCAAAGCAACTCCAGTTACGCTGATCAGCGGCAGGTGAGACTTTTTATTGTTTCACCTACACGCTGCACAAAATTTTGAGGATAGATCGAGTCAAGGACATTGTTTTGCCACTTCAGTGAAATTTGAGTCAAGTAATGTATAATTGTTGATTTGTAAATTTTAGTAATGAACAGTTTTGGACTTGTCAAAATTATCAAAAACTGTAATTATTTGAAATTGTTCTATATAATAGCAGATTCATCTTAACAATCGCAAATATATAATTACAAGAAAAGTATGTTTATACAATACTTTTGATTTTTAATCGTTATAAAGTTTTTTTATTTTTTAATTGACCGATTAATCTGCTACTAATTTTAAATTATACTATATTAAAATCAATTTGATTTTCAATGTTATATAAAATTATATAAAGTTATATAAATTTTGTTAATGAATAACAAATTTTCTTTTCATAATTATAACCCCTAAGATTTTAATTGATTTCAATATAGTAAAGTTAATGTACGTAATTAACCTTCTTGCTATTTTGTTCATCTAAATTTTACATTGCGATACTTTTATTAGATTTTCTGATGACTTATCGACTATAATGAGGCTTATAGAAATAAGATTGAAATAAATAACGATTTTTATTTCAAGTGAATTTACTTATACATGAAATATTTTAAAAAATTATTTAACAAAAGATGATTTTGTTGTCCTCAATATAATCGACAATACCTTGTTAAAAACGTATTTATATGGACTTTTTAAATTATGCATCTATATTCACAAAATATTTCTTCCTACATTAAACATCAGCCCCAAGAAGCAACGATGTTCGACCCTCAGCAGATCCAGCAACAGCAGGCTGCGCAGGGCCAACAGTCGCAGCAGCAACAAACTCAACAGATGTATGTAACAAGTGATAAAAAGGAGGACAAATCTGGGCAGCAATCAGCTACCACGGAATTTCCTTTTTATTACAACGTCAACATGTTGCAAAAGGTTCAAGCCAACGCGGTGGGTACCATTGGTGCCATTACCACTGACGACAAGGGCTGTTATCGCTTCGATGTACAACCCGTTGGCTACAACACCCTCATTAATCAGATGAATCTAGCTACAAATACAACTTTTAAATGCGACATATGCGGCCTCGTATTCGGTCACATGAGTCTGCTAAACCATCACAAACGTATTCATAATTCGACGCCAAGCAATTTGCAGCAGCAACCTCAACAAGTAGTAGTACAAACACCTACGACAGTGACAGTTGCAACAACTCCAGAAAGACCATATACGTGTGATGTATGTGGAGCATGTTTTGCGTTACCAGGAGAATTAAAAAGTCACAAGACAAACATGCACCAAAAGCCAAAGGTGCAAATATGTGAAGATTGTGGAAGCGAAGATCCCTGTGAACATCATCCTACTAAAATAAAAAAAAGTAAGTATAAAGTATTTACATTTTCTTTTTTATTTGTAATTGTTGAGGTACCAAAGTAACAATCTAAATATTACATGATAATTCATTATAATTTAGAATATTATTGAACAATGTATAGAGATATAAAGAATAATCTGGATAAATTTTTTTTCTATAATATCAATGGTAGGAAAGGCATTTAGTTATGTAATGGACTTTTATAACGATTATTGGGAGCCATAACTGTATTAATAATGAACATTAAACCCTTTTTGACAATCTTATATACTTTTCACATACATTACTTTGCAAATAATATTTAGTATTTATTTATTTCAAATGTCTAATCAAAAGCTAGATTTAGAAACCAAAAGTTTGTATTCTATACATATTATATATATTTAATTAATGAAACGAAAGAAATGTGATGATTATTTATATTGGTTCGACTATCATAATAGTAACCTTCTGTTTTCCTACCTTGTTTTAAAAATGAAAAAATTGAAAATTTAATTTTATTTAGCTATTAAACCTGGTCATCATCCAGTGAAGCGGCGTGGTGTCACCAGTGTAACCAAGTGCCACAAGTGCAATGGCACAGGCATTATTTTCATTGGTAAGTTTTATTACTTTATTTAAATAATTGTTTAATATAGCAAGAAATGTTACTACCAAATCAAACTTTTTATACATTTTGAAATTATAACGATAAAAATAAATACATATATTTTTTAGTTGTTTTCAAGTATGAATATAAGTTAAATTGTTTTATTTTTACAAGTTGTTTGCACTGTTACATGATTATTTTATGCATTACTGTACCACTTTATTTTGTATTTTTATATAAGTAAATTCAGTTAAGGCTTGTTTAAATAAAGCATTTTTATACTTTTTATCAAATACATGTAGAAAGGAATGAGGTTACAAATACTTTTTATTTATTTTATTTAAATCATTTGAATAGTGTTGTATATGAGTAGTTAATAATTAAAAATCAATAAATTTACACACTAGTCAAATGTAATTATTTACAAAATGTTTTAAAAAGTAGCATTTCTTGTAAGGCGTAAGCCATCTTTCCTCCATTTCTCATTTCATTGCTGTCATGATCGTACATCGGGTGGTGTATGGTAGGTAAACACAACGAAAAACTAGATTCCGGAATCAGTTCCCTCGCTAAGTGTAGCGGCTGCAAGGCAACAGGCCGCATCATCATAGGAAGTAAGTTGGACAAAAAAAATCACAGCCACGAAATGTATGGGATCTCTTTTTCTTTATAAATTTCTGTAAAATTAATACAAACATTTTTTATACTTTTTTTTTTTTTTTTTTCTATTTTTATTGACAAAGAAATCCCTGTCGGTTTGTTGTTTAGATGGTGACAGTTCTGTGACTTAATTTTAATTATCTTTGTAAATTATTCTTCTTTTGATGGTACTTACATTTTACTTGAGAAGTAATTTTAGTTTCCGAATTCTTTTTTCACCAGTAAAAACTATAGTACTACTTCAGTAGCCATCTAATATAACTTGGGACACTAGAAGGATTTGTTGGATTTGACATAGTTATGAGAAAAATTTATAAATCAAAACATTTTTAATGTCAACAAGATATTTTATTATATTCAATACTATTACAATGTAATATTCAGTTTATATAATCAGACCTCTTTAGAATATTATTTTACTTATGAATTTTTCTCAGTGTCTTTACTTTCATGCAAATACAATTATAATTAAAGTACATGATTTTCTGCATGCTTCTTGTGTTGTAGATAGACTATTTTAAAGTATTGCATAAATATAATTTTTAAAGCGTACTGGCAGTATTCAGTGATCAAGAATTGTTAATGATTGATGACATGTTCTTTCATTAGTTATTTATTCATTTTTTCTTCATATGCGTACACATACATACCTATGCACACACGCATATTTATGTATATTTGCATATGCACATATATTTCTTGTATAACTTATAATTTTTATTCTATCAAATTTTTGAAATTTACCAATTAATTTAATTCAATTTATTCATCAATTTTTATGAATTTATTAATTAATTGAACTTAATTTATTAATTGATTTAATAACTGAACTTATTGTACGTTCGAATTGAATTTATTAATTAATTTTAATTTATTTGTAATCATTATTATAATAATAATAAATCATTGACTTTACTTGATATCGATTCATAGTTTGTAATTAAAATGTTTTATATTATAATTTTCTTCTTTTTTTACTAGAACTGTCAGCATCTAAATTTAAGACAATTGCACAGAACAAAACCACTCCCCTAAGGGACAGTTTTATAAATTTGATACTACGACGAATCAACACTCACACTCTTGCTCGTGGACAGAAATCTTCATTAATTAAAACCTTAGTCTCAGTTGAATATTTTCTTTCACGATACAATTGAAAAGAGGAGTTTATACTTGGAATTGAATTTAGAAGTTTTGTATTATTATTATTATTATTATTATCATTTTTTTTTTTTTTTTTTTTTTTTTTTTTTTTTTTTTTTTTATGTATTTTATTCTTTAGACAATTGTTTAAAAATTAGTAACATTTTTTTTCTATTATCATGTGTATATTTAAAAAGATTAGTATTGTATAAACCCTAGATTGATTCAATGTAATAAAGTGTAAATAAACAATAAAAAAAAATTCAAAAAAAAGAACAAAAAATTGAATCCGTTCTAATTTGGTTGATAATCACGTCTTCAAAAAAATTCATAAATTAAATTAAATTAATAGGTAATAATAAGATATTGACAAAATATAACGGAATAAAAGAAAAAAAGTTAAGAACAAAGTATACAGCTCCTTTTTAATACGTATCGCAAAAGATATTTTTTTAAAAAGCCCGATTATATTTCGTGACTCGCAATGTATCTCATGAAATCCACGTCGAGCACATCTTTTTTGTAGAACTGGCCCTTTTGAGGAAAACTAACGCTCGGTTTGTATTTTCAATTACAGGCGGAAAAGCAAACAGTCAGCAACAGGAGAAGCCGTTTCATTGTAACGTTTGCGATGGCACGTTTTCAAGATATTCCTCGCTATGGTCTCACAAGAGACTGCACTCTGGTGACAAACCGTTCAAATGTGAAGTCTGCGGCTTAGCTTTTGCTAAGGGTAAGGATCGACCACAGCCATCGCAATGATGATTGATTTGAGCATTTTATATAAAATTTATAGATATTTTATTATTTATTCATTTTTCTTCGTCGATGACTTTCAAAAATTTCACAAAATTTAATCTATTTGCTCTGCTCCAGTGCTAATATACGGAACAACAAGCTTATATCTATTTTTTTTAAAAACAATGCATAAAAATATAATATGTTTTATTTTATTTTAATAACGGAATGACAATGACAGATTAATAATAAAGCATATTTTGTACGAAAGTATGCCGATTTATTTAATCTTAATTTGTTCAATTTAAAGAAAATGGAACGACTATTTTATAAATAGAATTTTTATAAAATCAATATAAGTGAATTCTATAGTTTAAATTTAAAATTAACTAGTTATTAAACATTAAAACATTTAATAAGAAAATGCTACAATCATATAATATGTAAAATGTGTAAGCATTAAATATAAGTATTTATTAAGTTGTTAATATGACTATTGATATACATTTTCATTAATCACGTATCCCACAGCAGTGAATGTGTGAAATGAGGAAAGAAAAATATTTTTCTTTTATGTATTTAGTTTTTAATGAAATAAAGTACGTAAAGTACTATTTATCGCTCCTTCATTTTTCTCTATCTCTCTACGATTCTAGCGGCGTATTTGAAAAACCATGGCCGTGTTCACACGGGTGAGAAACCATTTAAGTGCAGCCACTGTGGTATGCAGTTTTCACAATCTCCGCATCTCAAGAATCATGAGCGCATTCACTCTGGTGAGCGACCATACCAGTGTGAAGTTTGCGAAAAGACTTTCGCTAGGCATTCAACTCTCTGGAATCATCGTCGAATTCATACGGGAGAGAAACCATATAGGTGCAACATCTGCGGGAGTGCGTTCAATCAAGCTACACACCTTAAGAATCATGCTAAGGTCCATACCGGAGAGAAACCACACAGGTAATAAAAAAAGTGCATTATTAGTTGTGAACAATGCCAATGAAAGGTTATGTTCTGCAGTGCTTTTCTTTAGTTTGGGCTGCTTTTTTTTTGTTGGAAAATTTAATTTGGCCTTAAAGAAAATTTGTAGCTAGTAGTAGTCCAACATTATTTTAGCTATTTTTAATTTAATTTGTTTAGGTTTGTATGAATGTAGAGCATCATCGATATATAATGCATGACTAATATTGCATTACTTGGGGTAAAGGTAAATATGATTGAATAATGAAATTAACTAAGCTAATTATAAATATTGTTTACATTAACTGTTTTGGATTAAATTACACCGTTGAGACTTTTTTTTTTTTTTTTTTTTTTATCAATCTTATTATTTGAATATGGACAGCATTCTCTCTATTTTATTAATTTCGATCTAGATACAATTTTCGAAAAATAAATATATTATGAATATTTCGTACGATAAGTAATTTGTTTATTTACATGATACAAATCTTTTCATTATTAATAAATTTCAGTATATATATTCTGTGAAAAGTTATTAATGTTTTTAATACCAATTAATTGTTTTATACAAAAAATTTTTACACTTTTTAAGAATATGAAATTAATATTCCATTTAAGTATTTCATTTATTGAGAGTTACGTACATTTTCAATTAATCTTTTTATGTAACATGTTTTTAATATTTATACACTAATATAATATTTCCATTTACCGTTTATATAAATAGGCTCCATTTAATTAATTAATTTTACTTTTTCAAAACACAATATTAAATATAAAATTAACATTAATTACATTCACAATTTGAAATGATATATTCATTTTATTCATAAAGAAAGCAAATCTTTTGATTAAATGAAATATCTGTTAATTCAATAATCATTACTTGGAATAGAAAATAGCATGTTATTCATTATTAAATCTTATTGTAACGTTTATTTATTGTTTTAATATAAATTTTATTTTAAATAATACAATTTATTTCAGTAAATTGAGTTGGTAGTATGGTGAAACACAATGTATTATATATATATATATATATATATATGTATTAATAATTAAATTTTAAATATTATTACATAAACATATTAGTAATTAAAAAGATATCCTTTTGTTTCAAATTATAGGATACATTTTTAATATTATATATGTATTATGCTCTGTAGTATATTTGTTTATAATTGTTATTAGTTGATGGTATAATTGTTCGTATTGTTTGTCTATATATTAACAAATATTTTTACATTGTAAATTAGTAAGAAAATTCAGTTTCAAATAAATGAAATATAAAGATAAGTGTGCATATACGTTTACAATGTAAAACTAAAAGTATTTGGTTTTAGATAAAGCTTGTGTCGTTGAATCAATAGGATATAATAGAATATAATTTTTATTTTATCTGTACTATTATTATAATATACAAATTAATTTAATACACATGTGTTTATAAATGCCTTAAGTCAAACAAAAAAATTATATATGCAAAGTAATAAATTTGATGTTGCCAACACCAAGAAAATTGAATCTTAACAAGATTTTTTCTAAAAAATTTATTGTTAAATATTTATAAAATTTTTGTTAATTATTACCTTGATTTTACTAGTCATTCGTTTTTAAAATATATTAAAAATTTTAATTAAAACTATTGAAAAATTAATAATCACGAAGAAACGGAAATACTACACATTCAATAGGATAATTAAAAATGTAAGTTTTAACATATATTTTCACCCACAGTATAAAACTGAAAAATTTGAGTTAAGATTATTCTTACACTATAGATGTTGTAATGGAAAATTGACGTTAAGAATTCACTTCATTTTTATGAAGAAATATGTTAAATATTTCAGGAAAATATTTACTGGATATAAAGTAAAATTTAATAATGCTTACTAATCTCAATTTTGTTTAACACTTTTTTATATTTATAATAATTTTAATAATTTAAATGTTAAGATAATTTTCAAATACGTCGTTGTTGTTGTTGTTGTTGTTGTTGTTGTTGTTGTTGTTGTTGTTGTTGTTGTTGTTGTTGTTGTTGTTGTTGTTGTTGTTGTTGTTGTTGTTGTTGTTGTTGTTGTTGTTGTTGTTGTTGTTGTTGTTGTTGTTGTTGTTGTTGTTGTTGTTGTTGTTGTTGTTGTTGTTGTTGTTGTTGTTGTTGTTGTTGTTGTTGTTGTTGTTGTTGTTGTTGTTGTTGTTGTTGTTGTTGTTGTTGTTGTTGTTGTTGTTGTTGTTGTTGTTGTTGTTGTTGTTGTTGTTGTTGTTGTTGTTGTTGTTGTTGTTGTTGTTGTTGTTGTTGTTGTTGTTGTTGTTGTTGTTGTTGTTGTTGTTGTTGTTGTTGTTGTTGTTGTTGTTGTTGTTGTTGTTGTTGTTGTTGTTGTTGTTGTTGTTGTTGTTGTTGTTGTTGTTGTTGTTGTTGTTGTTGTTGTTGTTGTTGTTGTTGTTGTTGTTGTTGTTGTTGTTGTTGTTGTTGTTGTTGTTGTTGTTGTTGTTGTTGTTGTTGTTGTTGTTTGAAAGATAACGACAATTTTCGACGGTAATATTAATGAAGAATGAGAAATTTAAAATCGAAAAGTATAATTTAAATATTTTTATTATATTGATAATATCAGGGATATTTAGTCAACAATCATAGAAACAATATTTCTTAAAAACGTACAAGTTTCTATTCAATGCACGGAGTTTGGAAAAAAAATTTAATTGTTTAAAAAGTAAATACCAATCAAGTTTGTACTATCAAATTAAAAATAAAAAAAAAAACGATAAAAATAAAAATACAAATAAATAACACAGAATAAAAAGAAACAAAAGCCGTAAGAATTGGCATTGTTCTTGCGATTGGCTACCATTAAGGCAAAGGCAAAAACACTTATACTCACAAAAATCACGTAATCCTCAGTCCTGACTGCTAATCTCCCCTGTAGATGCGATATCTGCGAGATCGGCTTCTCTGACCGTTTCGCCCTGAAGCGTCATCGAGCGATTCACGAGAAGTACGGTCAAACAGCCGCCCGCAACAGCAATGCCAATGCCAGCAATGCCCAGCAGGCAAACGCGAGCAGTCAGCAACAACAGGCTCAGCAGCAACAGGCCCAGCAACAGCAGCAGGTTGTGGTGGTTAACGCAACGACGCCGGTGACGGTGAGCCAGGCTCAGGGTCAGGCGGTCATGCTTGAGGAGGTGTACAAGTGCCAGGTCGCCTTCCCTGAACCCAAATGATTCGACTGAGGCTCGGAGCAGCCGCAGCCAGAACAGCAACAGCAACAGCAACAGCAACAGAACAGATACGCTTTGATCGGATGATGATGGCCAGATTTTCTATGGACGATGACACGGTTGACACTCCGAATACGAGTCTTTGTGATTCTGCACATGCCGTGTACTCGAATAAACACGCGCATACATGCAACACGCAGAATTGGAAGCTGAAAAGGACAAACTAAAGTGCGATTGTGTGCGTGATTGTGAGGAAGTCGTGGCTCAAAGTCTCTGTCGCGGTTAAAGTATTTTTGTTTTCTTCTGAATAATAAGGGGATTTTGAGGTTCTGTGGTTTTTCCTTTTAGGAATGAGATAAAATGTGTACATTTTTGTTTTCTCGCTTTTGGTATTGCGTCAATTTGGAGATAATAACATGGAAAATAAAAAATTTTTATATTTAGGAATAATTTCTCTTCTGATGGATAATTAAGTTAAATTTAACTTAATCTTTTTAAATATTACAATTAAGTACATACATATTTAATGTCACAGTTAAGTATAATAAATCAATAGCTTGGGCGCTTATGAATTAAATGTTATGATACGTTTCCAAAGTCTTATAATTCTGTTTCATATACTAAATTAATATTAAATTAAAAATAACTTCGTTATCTTTATTATAATTAAAATGAAAAGAAATTTTAATATATACTTTATGTATTTAAAGTAATAAATTTCAATGCAGTTTTAACCGGAACGAAGAGAAACTATTACCGATTATTTTAGTAAATATGTATTTATAAGAAGTGTGCGTAAATGATTCCTTGCTATTTACTAACGCTTTTATTGTACAGTTTTTTACTTAAATACATAATGGATCCTAAGTACGTTTAAGATTTGTATAAAAGTTAGTCTCATTCAAATGACATGTAATCTTTTTATATACAAATTTATATGTGTTTTCGGTAGATTTTTGGATTCCCGACAAATATATTTAAAATAACGTTAAAAAGAATGTGAATCGTAAGAAAAAAATATACTCGTGTCGCTAATAACAAAATATTATGTTATTATTTTAAGGAAAGAAAAATGTTATCGTTAATAATTTTTTTTTCTTTCTTTTTTTTTTTTTTTTTTTTTTTTTTTTTTTTTTTTTTTTTTTTTTTTTTTTTTTAAGAAATCGAGAGCGAGTAAACAAAAATAGTTTAGCATTTCGTAAAGTTGGTAAAGTTTATTATAAGCATTATTCAAATTCAAAGTCCGTAATAATTTTCATTATTTAATTATAAAAAGAGAAATGTCGCGTAAAAGTAAAATTGAGCAGCGAGAACTTTATTCTTGATTCTGAATGGTGTGTTACTTAGAATTTTTGTTCTTTGTTGGTGGAAAAAGGATTCCTTTGTGATTTGGATAATTCATACTGATCCAAGTGCATAACATAAATTAAAACAAACATAATATATCTTAAAATAACAAGCAAATGAAATCAATTTTTGTATCACAAGCATAAGATTTGTAAGTATGCAAGAGATAAACTTCAAGTATAAAAGACAAGGTGCAATATACATTCTCAAAATTTTGGACATAAGCATAAAATATTAGTTGTGCAGCTAAAAGAAAATTTTAATATTTTTTAATTTAATTAAAAGAAGAAGATAATTAACGGCGAATCAAACTATTACTTTTATTTTTGACAATATAATTTTTGCATTTGATTAACATTGAAAAATTTTCCCTTAGTTCTATTTTCTTATTGAACATTCAAATGCTTTTGATATATATAGCATTTTAATATTTTCCCTGTGTGTATTTTGAAAATATTGACGACGAAATGCTGCATTAAAAAAAAAAAGAGCATTAAAGCGCCAGATCGCTCTGTCTTATTAAGGGGACATTAGAGGCATCTACTACCGAGTGGGTAATGACTATATGAATAAATAAATAAATGATCGCTAGTTCATAAATGATGAGTAGTTGCTTAGATAATATGTGTATACATTAATTTTTATATCTTCACTTGTTAGATATGACAACCACCTCCTCGCTGATTTTCCAACGGAGAAGCATAGAAACAAACGATAAATCAGCTTTAAATGGGTTAAAGCAATTAGTGCTTATTATCCCGCAGCATGTAAATTATCCTCAAGCTAGATAAAACTCTTCCCGATATAAGTCATGTATAGACGACAATACTTTCACGTTTAGATTTTTAATACTAATTACAGTTGTACTTTTGTCGTGGAAAGAAAATTTAACCAATAACGAATTTAAAAGAATAATTATGTAAAGTAATTCATAAAATACTTTCGCCCGTGAAGTGAATTTATACGAATACTAGGGAATCGGGAATAATTTTTCTTTCTTTCTCTCTTTTTTTAATTACTGTTTAAACTCATGTAAAATAAAGCATATTCGATTACGTTTAGTTTACTCTTACGTGGTCACAATACCTGCTACAGTATTTCGGATTAGTTTAGAACTTTTATCAACTTCGTTTCGTTTTTACTTCGTTGTTGATCTTATAATGATAATTACGTTTATACGTGAATCACACCAGCAAGTTTTTGTTGTTTTTTTTTCTCGTATTTTTTGTTTGTTTGTTTTTTTTTTGGTTTTTTTTTGGTTTTTTTTTTTTTTTTTTTTTTTTTTTTTTTATGTTCTTTGCCTTAAAAGAAGAAAACTGCAAAATGATACGTTAATTTAGAATCTTTGTTATTGCGTTCGACAAATTATATCAACGTATAAAATACAATTTTACATGTAAAGACAATTTTTGTGAATAGTTCAAGCTGTTTGGAAAAAAATTATTTGCTGTAACCTTAGTTTTTCGCTTAAGGGCACTAAGTAAACTTGTAAATACATGTATCTGAATATTAAGCTCAAATAACACAAGGAAGGACTCAAGCGTTGATCGATTCGTTCGCTTCTTATTCGATTACTAGGTAATGTACGTATTGAGATTCTTCCATCTATACATAATGAAGAAGATGAAAAAAAAAAAAAAAAAAACGGAGAAAATTGAGCTTAAATTCAGTGTATCCATGTCGTGAATGAGAGACTGCGTATATAGATAGTATGCGTGCTGTGAGTATATGCGATTATAGTTTATAAGTATACGAACTATTTAGATAATTAATGTATAAGTCAGATGTTTAGGAGACTGCGTATATAGATAGTATGCGTGCTGTGAGTATATGCGATTATAGTTTATAAGTATACGAACTATTTAGATAATTAATGTATAAGTCAGATGTTAAAAAAAAAAAAAAAAAAAAAAAAAAAAAAAAAAAAACTGAAATTACTGGAGGAGGCACAGCTCGATTGCTTGTTTTGATCCAGTGATTTTTTATTTTCCCACATCATCTATAAAACTTGTCTAATAAAATTGACATTCCTAACTGTGCGTAACTATTCATAAATATAACACCTTTTGCGATTCTGTCAGAAGAAATTTTTAATTTAACAAGCGTACAGAGCTGCAAGTTATTAAAAATGTATATCTATTATACATATTTATATTATAATTTTAATAAATATTAATAAAAATGTATTTAATTTTATCGCATTTTCGACTTTTTTAACATTGTTGTTCCGACACCGTTTGCCTCATTCTTTCCGAGCAGCGCTGGATGCCTCTTACAGTAATATCATCTTTTAAGATTAAATTATGAATACAGAAAACAAAAAACAAAAAACAAAAAAACAAAAAAACAAAGCGAATAACATGCGAAGAATGGATATGATTCCGAGCTTCCACATTATCCAAACAAAAATTAAAGATGTATGGAAGTGTCTTCCAGAGTGTCTGTACTGCGCTTTTTACGATCACAAAGGTATCCTTCCTTCCGAAATATTGTGGTGAACATATAAATATACATGCGTTCTCATGTAAATCTAATTTTTGCACAAATAAAAAGTAAACACGATTAAAGCGCTGACGAAAATTTAATAATATGCTATTACCTATTTTTTATCTCATAATGTTAAATTCGTTTACTGAAAAATACGAAAATGAAAGATTTTTAATAATAATTGTACTGACAGAGGACAATTTCTTTATCGAGTCTACTACGGGTCAGCTAATGTGTATGTAGATAACACATAATCTAGAATTTTGTATGAGAAATAATAAACAAAACAAGATAAACATGAGAGACAGAAGCGTTTTACATTAGATCTACCTGTTGTCGATATAAACTAGGAAGTATAATTTGAATGTTCGTGTATTATACTAATTATTTCGCCTAGCTAAGAAAATATTTGATTTAAACCAACTAGCACACGATTATATCAGATATTCAAATAACAATAAAGATGTCCGTGGGACGTTTTCATTTTTTATCATTGTATTTATTTTCCACCGTCCTTTGATATTTAAATTCAATGTTTGAAGATTTTAAATCATTAGGCCGCATGTGTTTTTGAAAATAATTGTTTGCTTTAACAGATCTTTTATTTTAAAATAAAACAAGCGAATATTAATATCAAGCACAAAAGTACAAAATTTTGTAACCGACAGTGTTGAAATAAGTTGAAAGATAAATAAAACAAATATAATTAATCATCGTATTAATAGACACTTTTTTCATCTGCATTTATGATCTTTTTGTATGTTTTGCAATATATAAGCGCTTGATTAATTTGTTAATAAAAAACGTTGTTACACCAAAATTACTTATTAATATTTGATAATATAATATTGCTTGCTAGAATCTTGAAATTATATTCGATATAAGACCGAGTATTTTATTTTATAAATAATTTGAATTATTTATAGTTTGAAACATTTGGATATTTAAGGTTCTGTAAAAGTGCTATTTTTTGGATTGAAATTGTTTTATGCAAAATATAAGAAGAGAGATGGGGAGATTTGGTTAAAAAAAAAAAAAGAAAAAAAAAGGAAAAAAAAAAGAAGAAAAAAATGAAGCGACTTTTTCTTATTGAGAAATAAATATATTTCGAGACAAATTTCTACTTTAAATTTAATATTTTTTATAATCATTATAATAAAGAATAAACACGCATAAATCTAATGTGTTATTCCACAATTTCACAATTGAATAATAATATTTCTAAAAACATTGTCTGATTTGTCATAATAATAATATTTACATAATTACTTCTTTATTTCCATATTTTTATTGCAATGTTACAGTTTGCGGTCAGCGCGTACGCTTTATTACAAATTTGTAATCGCACGCGTTTATACATTTTTTATAATGAATATTTATTTATTACATTGAAAGAAGCAGTAAGAGTTACTGCAAAAATAAAATTAAAAAAAGATGAAATATTGAAAGCAACGTTATTACTATGGTGAATATTTTAACAAGATATTGGCTTTTCTATATGAATGATATTTGTCTGTTCGAAGATAACAAATAAGAAAATAACGAGTAATAAAATTTTGTATTTCAAATACTTTTCAATCCTAATTATTGTATTTATTTTTCATACAATAAACGCACACGCGCGGATATCGCACGTGCTTTAATTAATTTCGCTATCCTCTTTAACCGTCGTGGCATTGGAAATAGAATATTTCAAAACTTTCGGAATATTGAAATAACAAATTATCAATTGCTCTTTCAATTACGTGAACAGCAATTAATTCTCGAAATTCCGTTTGAAAACAAAAGATGCTACCAAATGAATAATATTAATAGGCTATATTAATAATCATTAGGGAGAATATCGTGCAAGTTATTAATGCCGAAATGCAATGATATTCGTTGCTTCCAAGCAATGAAGATCATCGATCAAAATGTACTGCCGAGCCGCGTGAAAAATTCTAAATTCAATCAGATTAATTCAGAAAGGTGAATTAAGGGAGAACACCATCTTCACCATCATCATTTTAGAAGCGAAGCAATGATATCGTCACACTTACGCTTGAATTTCAATGATCATCATTAATAAAGATATCATCTCGTAATAAAGCCATAACGTAAGGCCATAAAAAAAAAAAAGAAAAAAAAAAAAAAAAAATTCATGTGGAATACCCACAGCGCTACGTCGCGGTGTTAATGAGGAAGTAAAAAGGCACAGTTGGGGATCCAACAACCGTAGGACTTACACAATGTTCCTGTGTATTCGTTGGCCAAGTAAAGTTACTGACATGGCGGCGTCGGTGGTGGAGGCCAACGTGCGAGAAAATATCTTGTGAAAGTATCGATATAGCCGGAGTGATGTAATTTGAAAGGGATTAATATTGTTGGTGAATTGTAATGATCGGATTATGTGTGTGGCCTTGTCAAAGTTGAGGAATATCATTTTTCTTTTGGCTTTGGATGTTAAACTTTTTTTCTTTTTTTTTACGGTAAGTGTAAGTGGCGAAACGATAATAACACTTGCCGATATTTGTTGTTATGTTTTAATGTCTGTACGTTGCTGTTGGAAATGGTTGCTCATTTACGTACTCTTTTGTTTTAATTATTTTTAGCAATGCTAGTGCACTTATCAGTTAAAGAACATATAAAATTTAATAATTCTCGAGCAAGGCTGCTGTAGGTGTTGTTACGCGACCTTTCTAACTCTTGTATTATAATACAATTTAAGAAGGGATATTAAAATAGTTATGTAAATAGGAATAAGCTGTTCATTTTAAGTAAGTTTATTATTTTTATCATATCGATACGTACATAAAGCAGGCATAATTCATTATAAATAACACATGCGCGCATGCTCGCTCGCGTCTGCATACGCGCGCACACACGTACACGCGCATAAACACACAGGCACATAATATATATGCATATATGCATAAACATGTGTGCGATTGCGTACGTGGGTGCGCGCGCGTGTGCACACATTATATATATAGAGACCCGCAAGCATAAATTATTCTGTAGAAAAGTTGTTATTACTTATTATGTGATAAAATATCATTTTCATTTCTGATAAACTTAAATGCACTATTTTCAAATATATATTTAATATTCATTCTATGAAAGGATATATTGTATCAAGTTTGTTCATAATTGGTTGCACGATAAACTTATTTCTATCATTTTCTCGTTTTTTGTTTTTGAAGATACGCCACCAAAGCCTAATAGTGAAATAGTAAATTATTTCTATTATCGATAATAAACTAAAACCCATAAATAGACCTAGCAGTCCTCCAGTATTGGCTTGAAAAAATAATACCACAATTATTTCATTGATATTAGATTAGTTGGATTACAAAAATTTGTTTAATTACAAAAACAAAGAGGTTTACTCACATAGTAATTCTGCAAATCCGTATAATTCATTTTTTGTATATTTCACATACGAATCATCGATGAAAAAAATGTGTACCACTGCTATATTTTTTCTAAAATTGATATTATAATTAATCGGTCGATTAATTTCATCATAACTCGTGTTGTTTTTCATGTTGAAAAAATAATTAAAAATAAATAAAATTGGTAAAACTGCTTACTCAAAATATGCTCTATCATATTTGAAATATTCCTCTGGGATTTCAAATGTAGCCAATAACATGCTTTGTGAAATTTCTGTGCTATAATTGATTTCGTTACAGCCAGGATAGCATTTACAACTGGGTCTAAAAATTATTTATAATAATATATAGTTTTTGTGCAGAATGCACTCTGTTGAAATAAGCAAATGCGATCGATTGATTTATTTATACGAATAAAAGTGATTGAAGAAAGTTGTATTTAATACATCACAGTTACGAGTAAATAATTATTATGGTGTTAGTCTTTGCGCAAATTATTTGATAAATTAAAATATGTAAAAATCTTATGAAATATATTCTATTGCATGTTTTTATCGTTTGCCCATATTACAATATATTGTAAAATATATATATATATATATATATATATATATATATATATATATATGTGTAATAAATTTTACATATAAATTTATACTCATTGTCAGCGGATACAATTTTCATCCATATGAAGAAAAGGATACGTGGATTTTCAGAATATTCATGTGATATGCGTCGTCTCGCATTGCTTATTAAAGGAGAGTCAAATGCAGTCAAATGAACCTACGCTTCGGTAAAATTGAAAGCTTTAACCTCGTCTTCTTCGTACAATTTATTTTTCATGAATTTTCGAGCATTTATTGCACACTGATCATCGTTCTTTCCACAGATTCTTGTATCATTTGAAACTAAAAGAAAACTTCTATTTACTCTTTCATTTACAATGCAATATACATACACGAAGAACAAATTTAATTCATATTCATGATTTCATCGATAGTAGCTTTTTGTACAAAATAATACAGAATAATTCATTCGAAGGAAATATCCATTCTTAGCATATAGAGTGCTGAATTTATACATTAATTTATTATATTACATTAATATTATGCATTCGCATTAGAAAATAATAAATTTTATCATTTGATCGTTAGAAGATCCGCAGCACATCGGTTACACTTAGTATTAATATTATTTCTTTTACGTGCCCTCATATTGGTTAAATCTTCTTTCGTCGATCAATATTTTAAGTAATAAAATCAAGTGATATTTAGTAGAAATAGCATTAACAACATTCCCAATCAATTTTTAGTCGATTTGAAGATAATTTTAATGGCAGAATAATTATGCTTGAAAAAATTTGTGATATGCCTCAGTCATTAAATACCAAAAGAAATTGCTTATGTAATTGAAATTTTTCACAATGCTCATAGCGTTGTACATTATTAACGTGGGAAGAAAAGAAATTTTAATTTTATCAAAATATGGATAGACCTTTTAATGGTATAGGGAGTAGAAGAAAAACAAAAAAAAAAACAAAAAAAAACAAAAAGAAAATATTTATTATGAAATCGTATTGTTAACGTACACTATTTAATGTTAAATGAATAGTGAATTGAACTTGTCGGATTATTATTATTATTAATGGCAGCTTTAAAATTACCGGGCATGTAGTATTGCATACATTGGCAGTATTCGAGTGTGAAGTTTGCTTCGCATTCGAGAAGACAATTTCGCTGCGTGTAGGTTCTGTAGTAACGTAATTTTTTCTCATTGAGAAAGAAGCAGCGACGTTTTTTTGGTGGAATGTTCATGATTGATTTGTCAGCCTCGGTTATGTGGGGAGTTATTATGACACGTGTCTCTTTCCCCGGCGACAATGTGAAACCAAAGTCACTTATTTGCGGACTTTCCACTGGACTGTGAAGCAGCATCTGCGTATGGGAATAAATTTTCATTTTACCATAATCGGTCACCTTACCACCACGACGAACTGACAAACCTTAAATCCGACACTGGCGGTAGACGAGCAATAATATTCGTCGGAATCAACATCGAGTGCCAATGTTAAACCGTAACTGGCACCACTACCATAAGCCCGCCAAGGAATAGCCGTTGGAGGATCGTTTTTACTAAATTTATACTCGGGAGTCCAATCGATGTGCTTTTCAGATGCGTATGATATGCGTAACTTATCCCAAATCCTCCTAAGAATACATTAATTACAAGCAGGATTGACGAATAATAAGACGAGCAGTTGCATTTGATTTAGCGAGAAGAGTTTTTAAGTACACCTAAATGCCCTTCATTTTTTAATCAATGAAATTCTAATAATTTTGTTGGCTTTTTATATTTATAAATATATCATATCCACGTTATTTTATGAAATCGGACGAGTTTCTGTTTAAATTCGTTCATCTTTGACATTACTTTAAATATGAAATTCTATCCCGTTTATTAAATTATACGTAATTTATTTTACAACGAAATTAATAAATATTTAAAGACTTATCAATTTAATATATAAAATAAATTAAAACTATTATTATTACTCATAATTAAATATATTTTATATTTTATGTTTCATAATTATTATTGTGTATTCGGCTTTTCTCTCTCTCTCTCTCTCTCTCTCTATCCCCTCCCCACCAACGAAAGGCAATATTTAGAATGTATTTTGATAACATTGCGATCTACGTACGGATCATGTAGTAAATGCGGTACCGAATTAAATTTACAGCACAAGCCTTCATCCGTTAGAACGGGATTAAAAATGTCTGAGCAATTTGTCATATTTCCATGCCATTCGCAATGATGAAGCATTTGAGAACAATCTTGAGACACCTAAATTTAAACATTGTACGCTAAGATTATAATTATTGCTTTTTATCTTTTTAATATTGTTTATTATATTAAGTATTGAAATGAGTTTCTCTATTTTTTTTTTCTTTTTTGCAGTTATTGATAAAATTGTTACTAAAATTTAAATTAAAAATTTTTTTATTTAACTTTAAAGATGAAATAAAATAATATCGCAGATAAAATCGCCAAGCGCATATTCTGGATTTATTAAGTTTACTTCCCAAAAAGAGATGAAATATATATATATATACATATACATATTTTTTTTTTTTTTTTTTTTTTTTTTTTTTTTAAATACTTTATCGACGATAACTCACATTTAATAAAAATTTATATACATTTTCCCATTCTCCTGATTCTTCGGTTACCTCGCGTTGGACAGAAGTTAAATTTGATTTGAAATTGCAAATATCTTCGAGAAAAAATTTCTGCAACGAATTGTTTCTGAAAAGATAATATATTTATAATAATAATTAATTTTGCAGAGCAGAATTTTTCTTTTTTTTTTTTTAATTCGTAGAATCTTAAAAATATACGAGTGCTATCGAAAGTCATGGTGTTTGCAATTTCTACAAATACAATTGTAAAAAAAAAAAAAAATGTGTTGTCGAAAATATTAGGTACGCGATACAAATGAGAGAATTAAATTATATAAAACAAACCCTTTGATTATTTCTTGAGCGACGGATCTTTTGGCATTGTTCATATTACAAACCGTGAGTGCTGGGAAGGGAAATTGATCGATAGAAACGGATTCGGAGCTGCGAGATATAATAATTGGCGCTAATAAGTATTTAGTATAAAGATGCCAGATGAAGTAAGCTGCGCCGAATATCGCCATTAAAAATGAAAATATCCAAAAAATTCTGAAAATTATAAATTACTATATTTAAAAGAAATGTATTATGATGACGACATTGTAGGTTATTATTATTACCGTTCAAAATTAGGCAAGGACTTATCGCCAATATATTTTAAACCGTGAATTGTACAGTGATAGCAATACTCCGTAAACGTCGTAGTACACATATCGAGTTTAACCGTTGACAATTTCTTTGTTTCTTTTGGAATCAGACTGTACGTTTATGAAAAAAAGCATCATATATATAACACAGACAATTCGTAAATATTAATATAAATATTTTTCTTACTTCTTATTTAAATGTGGTGCACGTTGTGCCAACGACATACCTTTATATACGTATGGACTCGAGGGCGAATGCTAATTTTTGTATAAAAAATTCTTTATTTATAATATTATCTGTTATTCATCGCATATATTTATTTATAAAGCAAATCTCATATAATTATGAATCACACAATAAATAAAAATTTTGATAAATAAAAATATATGATTCGTTTAAGATTGTTTTTATAAAGAATATTAGTATGTTGAGAATCAATTTTATTAATTTAATTAATAATTTAACAATTTAATAAAGAAATATATCTTGAGATGGAAAGTAACAAGTAAATACAAAATTTCTATATTATTACGATTCGTTGATGAATAAGAATTTGATAAAATTGATCTTTATGATTAGAATAATTTTTGTCTTACACCTATGAAAATATAAAAGAAAATGATTCCTATTATGCATTGGCATAGTCATAGTAAGCTTTATATGAATTATATATTTATCGAGTAATACGATATTTAATAAATTAATTTAATGATATAAAATACAAAAAAAATATAAATAATAATAATAATAATAATAATAATAATAATAATGAAACTGATACATCTTTATTATATAATAATCTTATAAATAGATAAATTAAATAAAGTAAAAATTATACAAAATTAGAAGAATTCTTTTATTGAAACAAGATATAATCTAGTTAAAGGAAATTAATTAAGCGTTTTTTAAAGATAATATAACTACAATATTACCGTTGTACTTTATTGCTTTGATATATATATATATATAAGAACCTTATTGACTTTATTGTAACTATTTTAATAATTATGTTAAAAATCATAATGAACTCTGACGATCTTACGTAATCTTATAAAAATTACTGTTACGAAATATTATTTTAATAGAAATTATTTTTTCATATATTTTTACCAGCAAACAATAGGAAATGTATCGATTTCGGTGATTTTATAAAATATTTAAAAAATTTTTTTTATAAAAAAAAAAAAAAAAAAAAAAAAATACAATTTAATGCAAATATGGTTAATTATCGATATTTTTAAATACTATCGAACTTTTATATTTTTATACGTTTTGCGTGTTTTTAAAGCATTATTTATTAAAATAAATCGACTACAATTTATTTTATATGTATATATTATAATAGATTCTTTTTATGATTTAAACTTTAATAATTTTGATAATTTTCTTTAGAAATTTATTTAAATCAAATTTGTCGAATTTAACATTTGTATAATTAAAAAAATTTATTATTTTCTTAAAGTGTGTGTGTGTGTGTGTGTGCGCGCGCGCGTACATATAATTTTATATGGAATTTCTACAAGTGATAATGCCAATGTAAAATGTTAATTTACGTCCATGAAACGCTCATTAAATGATATATAATTTTATTCTAAATTCCGATTATCTATTTTAATTGAAATTCTAATTGATTCGAATGAAATAATGAAATAATTCATATACCTTGATTTGCCGATTTACTGCCATACCATTCATTGCGGGTGCTTGCAAATCTCGATAAAAAAAATTCACGGTCTGTCTACGTACTGGTCCATTAAATCGCTCGGTATTGTTCATCTCGTATCCATGCAAGTTTCGCGAACGCGATATATCAGCATAAGGTATTTTTGTACGCCAGAGTCGCCAACTTATTTTCTCCTTCATTACCGACTTCCATACCAAGAGACTTGGAATCTTTATGAAAAAACCTATAACATTACACGTGGTATACTTTGTTAAAGTAACAAATTATTTTGACTTTTTATTATGTCGAATACCGATCAGTATGTTTCAAATTTTTTTTAAATTTCAATAAATATATTTTATTATTTGAATTCAATTTAATTATTAAGCATCATCTTTAAAAAAAAAAAAAAAAAAACCCACACACACACACACACACAAAGAAAGATAATAGAACACAAGATTTGTAGGTAAAAATTACTTTTAATTTGCACAGAGTTACTCGTATAACACTTATCAACTTAATACATTTAAATAATAGAATTTATCTGTATGTAGGAAATGTAATTGAAATAGTTGGGATCATTTGTCAAATTACGGATTGTGGAACTTATTACATCATTGAACGCATATATCAAATATATCAAATATATGAATGATACATATATACCCTTAGGGCGTTAAATCGATAAGCGCCTCATATATGCAAGTAAACGTCATTTAAATTTAAATTTCTTTTTATAAATGTTTAATGCAATTTTAAATAAGGTCGTACCAATTTTGTGTTTAATATACATATAATACATTGTAAATTTCCGTTAAAATAATATCAATGTAATGCTTTTTAATTTGTAACTTATGAGCGCTATCTTTTGTCGTACACCAATTTCGTACGATTTCTGCAAATATGGAAAAGTTATACAAGTAACAATTTAAAACGAGGTAATATTTTAGAATTTTTGCTAGACTAATGAATTATTTAGACTAGGAATATTAGTGATGCTTCAAAGCTATTTTTTTTTTTTTTTTTTAAATAAAAGAAGAATTTAGAAAAACATTAAACCATCTTAAGCCGTCCAATGCGCCCTTAAGTTAACGAAAATATTAGTAGATGCTTGTAACAATAACAAATATAACATTTATATTTAGAAAATTATTAAATTCTTATTAAAACTCGTACAGTTAAGCGATTCTTCGTTGACAAAAAAGAATCATATACGTACCACAGAGTTCTCGTTCACTTGTTTCGCAGATTCATGAATTTTCGTTGGTTTGACATGATTTGGTTGATTGAATTTCGTTTGTTTACGAGCCGATAAAACGTTATATTTGCCAAATTATTTATTTCCAGAGCACAGATCTGCAATCCTAAAAAACCTCTAGGATTGTACCTTGATAATCTTGATAGTCACTATCTCGGCCTTTTTTTCATTATTATTATTTCACTTTTCATTCGTCGTAATTATCAATGACTTTTCAACGCTCGCTTCATGCACTGGAAAGTTTTCGTATGAAGATTGTGTATCGTAGATTTGATGCGCCCTACTCGCGTCAAGTTTATACACCGTATCGTCAGGGTATTGTTTCAGTTGCGTGACACTAAGAAAAATCTATAGAGCATTTATTTAGTATTTAATTTTTAAAAGAATGCCATTTGAGCGTAGAAATTTCATCTTTAAAATTGCTATGAAAGCTCGCGTACCTAGGTTTCGTAGCTGATTGTATTTTATGGATAAATGAGATAAATGGATATTAAGAGAGACTGATTTTGTCAAGTTTAGAAAAATTATCATCCATCGAACTGTCAATTTTGTACAATTATATTTATCAAACACAACAGTATGTGTTAAGAAAAGAAAAAAAAAAGAAAACACATCGAGTTATCGCTAGATAAATTTAATATCGCACTTACAAATTATTAAAAAAAAACCTTCGCGAATTTGCTTCAATTCAATTTCGTTCAATTCTTCATTTATATATGAGTAAATCTTTAATTTTTTCTTCTTTCGAATAAGCTAATTCGTATAAGTTTAAATAACAATTTACGTCTATATACACATATATATATATATATATATATGAAACACAAAAAAAAAAACAAACAAAAAACACGTGCTAAGTAGTGTAGTCGGCACAAAATATCATAACGAAGTTCGTTATTGAACTGATAAGAAGGAAGGAATGAGCGGTTGAGTAAAATTGTTCACATCCAGTAGATTTGTATCAACCTACATACACATATGCGATACAATAGAAGCGATATTACAAGAATAGATGAGTTGCCTTTTATGTGTATGTAGTTGATCGTTGGGCTGTACATAATATTATCATTGAATACTGTTCTTTTACCGAATTGACACTTATCTGAAAAATTATCATCTTTGAAAATATAAGAATTTATTAAATTTATTATGTTGATATAATAATGCTTATGTGATTATGCAGCTTTAATTAGATATATTATTTGTTAATGATAATAATTCACCGATAAGATATTACTAAATTCACCAAATAAAGGTAATATAACTAACAAATTATTTATTATTTTTTATTTTTATTACTGCTTATGCGTAAATTAATTGTCCGATTGAATATAATAAAACATCATTGTAATGGGCAAATTTAAAAGTACGTTAATGAAATGAAAATATCAAGATTTCAATACGCTATAGATTTTTTTTTCGGTATAAAGGATTTAGTAATTATGTACAATGATAATTTATTTTTTTAGATTCAGTAAGTTCGTGAAAAGAATATAGTCATTATTTTAGATATCGAGTAGAAATTATGTTATGACTCTTCCTAGTTACAGTCACTGTCAGGGAAATACCGTATTGTTTTCTCATATGGCTTTGTATTATTTCATTATGCGTTTGCAATTGTTTATCAACATGATCTTATATATAAATATATATATATATATCTATATATATTCCTTTGATTTACAGCTGTATTTGTAAATATACTAAATATACTCACACAATTTGTAAAAATACACTTTTGAAATAAAATCTTATATAATAATCACCGCTATTCTTTGTCTTATATTGAAAAAAAAAACAAAAAACAAAAACAAAAAAAAAACAAAATTAATTTTTATATCAGGTTTTTAAATTACAATAAACACAAATAAATTTGGTATAATCGTTAATAAATAAATTAAAAAATAATGAAAGCAAATTTCATGCAAGCACATTTGATGCAGACATAAAATTATAAGTCGATATTTGTTTAAATGCTTCTTGTATTGTTTACATATTGCATTTGATATTTGTGACTTGCTAATCGACTACATTGAATTATCTAAAACTACTTCACTTAATGGGGAAAAAAGCTTTTAGTTAAGCTCTTATGAAAATTATTATTTATAAATTATTTTTCAACTATCGTTAATTTAATGTATTTTTGTTTAATATTCTTAAAATTCAGCAATTGAAAATTAACTTATTTTAATTCATAATTTAAATTATAAAATGTCTAACTTACCGATTATTAAGTTATTATATAAAACCTTGAATAATAAATAATAAAGTCACACGACAAATCTATGAAAAAGTTATTTTATTAGAAAACAAGATACGTATGCATTATCGTGTAAAAAAAAAAAAAGTAAGGCTACAATAATCGTACTACATAATGTATTGGAAAACAATTTTAATTCCTTACAATTATGCATTAAAAACTCATGAAAGCCTATTTAATTTTTCCTCGATAATTAAGTCTAGAAAAAACAATGTAATAGAATTCTGTGTACTAAACGAACATTTATTAAGACGTTGAAATATTTTGTTCTCCTTGTAGCATTGCATTTATACACCGCCTGGCTTGATATTTTTTTTTTTTTTTTTTTTTTTTTTTTTTTTTTTTGCAACTTTCTTTAATCGAAGGATATCAAGATGAAGCGATAACATTCAATGCGACATCAAGACGTTCATCATGTTAATTGACTTGGAGGGTAGTTCTCGTAATGGAAGGTCAACGTTAACGAAAATAATCGGTTGCGTGTATGAAGAGCCGTCATTACCTTGCCCTTGAATATAATATTTACTATTAAATTTTGAAGATTATTTTGTAACGTAAAAATTATTACTACGTAAAGTATGAATAAATTGTATTTCCGTTTGGCATAAAGTTATTCTATAGCATTGAAGAAATATTGTACAAGTCATTTTTAAAATAAGGAATATTAAATTTTTACATTATATTTATGATGATATTAATTTTATATAATAATAATAATAATAATAATAACAACAATAATAACAATAATAATAATGTCCACGCGTCTATGGATAAAGTGAAAAATTGAATTTGTCAAAATTTATTTGATTTTTTCTTTAAATTAGAATAAATTTGTTGTCCTTGTTAAATCTATTATATTTCTAAATGCATTTTATATTTCATTTATTACGTTGACGTTTTTTGTTATTGTTGTTTGAAATTTTTGTTATCTTTACAAAAAATGTTTAGCTCTAATTGCAATTTTATTATTGAAAATATAAATCAATATTTTATTATTGTTATACTAGGGTATCTTTATATGCCAGAAATTTAATAACTATTTGCTTAAGCTTATTAATTAAATACCTTATATTTTTAGACATATTTTTAATAAATCAATATAATACAAACTTGCAACTTACGTTATTGCACTTATTAATTATAAATAATTTTTAACTCAATTTAAGAATACCATAGATGTTTTAAGCTCAATTATTTTTTAACTAAAAATAACTAAAAATAAGCTAAAGCAGTTAGAATAATTGGACAAATGAAAAATGGTCCAACATAAACTTATGTATTTAAGGGATAACAATCATTTTATAAAGCAGGTGAATTATGCATACGTTACATACTAGTATCGCAATGTTAATTGCAACATATTGACCGGACTTCTAACAGTTTTTATTATTATTATTATTATTATTATTATTATTATTATTATTATTATTATCCATGAAAGGAAAAGACACGCGGTACATTAATAAACTGCGATAATTAGGGATAAAGCGGAGATAAAAGAAACATATATTATACATACGGGATGTTTTGTGGTTTTGTATCTTTTCATGTTTTATTTTAATTGATAAAATATAACTATTTAAAGATCGTGGTTATGTGATAAAAAGCAATGAGAGCTTATTATATTGATTATTCATGGACTTCGGAAGCCTTTATTGGTTTTAAATGAAGAGGTGTATTATTCATTTCAGTACATTCTGGTTTCATAGCTGATAATCATTGTAACAACACTAACATTGTAAAAAACTACAATTTTTCTAATTTGAAGAGTAATACTAATGATGAGCTCGTTACCTATAGCTATGCAGATAAGATTTACACATAAAATAAACGTTAATCTTATTTATTAATATTATTTGACGATTCAAGAAAAAATATTTTACCTTAATGTGCAATAATGACATTTAAAGCATCTATAATTACTTTTTCTACATAATCAAGAATGTACATACTATTATCGTTATCATCACTACCGTCACTACCACTACTACTACTACTACTACTACTACTACTACTAATAATAATAATAATAATAATAATAATAATAATAATAGTAATAATAATAATAATAATAACATTAATGAAATAATAGTAATAATAATAATAATAATGATAATAATAATCAATAATAATCAATAATTTATGTTTTATTATAGTAAAAAAACATAATGTCTAAAAAATCTCGAAGACGGAAAGATAAAGTAGAGGAAAAGGCCGCATTCGAATGGGAAAAAGATCGCATTCTTCCAGAAAATCTAAGGGATGAGATGGAAACCATGTGGGAGGTAGAGTGAATAAATTTTATAAACTGCGTTACTTAAAATATTAAGAAATGATTTTTTAAAGAATTCTAAAATAATCGTTACGATATATATGCATATATATATATATATATATATATATATATATATATATATATATATTTAGATTCCTCAAATTTATCACTTTCTTCAACTTACCAAAGAAGCACTGAACATTTGTCATCTCTCGATGTATGAAGTTGAACGAATGCTTTTAATGCCAAAAGCTTCCAAGCAACTGGCTCATATAATGACATGTTTATTAAGGTAATTTTATTCATTTTATGCTAACTATTATTAATTTTACAGAATATTTGATTTTAATGAAAGAAAGATGAAGTTTGATAAATGGATTTCAACATTTGGAAGTTTTGAAATTTAGAAAAATTATTTTAAACGTACGGATAATTTAAGCGTTCGAGTTAATGAATAACAAAAATACTATTACTATGGATTAAAATGGAACTATGTAAAAATTTATCGTTTTTTAGTTCACCTACAAGCACAAAAGCCAAACTACACAGAGTGCCACCAATGCCTTATGAGTTCTGGACTAATATTTTATCGTACAAATTGAAAAGCTGGTTTAAAATTTATCAAGCAAAACGTCAAGATTTTGTGAAGGTATTATAAATGTTAAAATATACTTGAATGTCTATTATACAATAATGTTTTAATGCTATTAAATTTTCTAGACTTTTGATACTATTGGAGTAGAACCTGAATTTTGGAAGGTCTTTCCAGAAGTTAACAAAATCGAGGGAAAGGACTTTCAAGACTTTACTTTTAGAGAAAGAGTTTGGATATTAAAAACAATTTGCGATACTACGGTAGTAAGTACTTGACTCGATGATCAAACTAAAAAATATAGATTTTTATGTTAACTAATGCATTTTATAAAATCGAATATCCTTTATAAACATTGGTGATTATAGAAATTATTGGCGATTCAACATATTAATGTATATTAATAGTATTAATTAGCAATATATCACAAAATTATATCCATTATGTAAAAATTTTAAAAATTCGTAACCATAAATATATTGTACTAGTTGTGATTAAACAGTTGTTTTTTTTTCTTTTCATTGTTAGTTTTATTGTATAAAAAAAGTTGTTAATTTAATATTTAATACATTGGGTTAATTTCTTATATTGATAAAAATTCAATAAATTCGGTGGTAGGACTAGAAAAAAATGTTATAATATATAAAACTAACTATAGATATTTATTAAAACTTTGAGTATCTCTATTTTTTATGTAGCACTCAAGGAAAACTATTCAAGATGAATTGGCGAAGCAACCATGGGAAAGTCAATTTGAAACAGTACTGGGAATCGATAGATACGGAGCTCGATATATTTATTTTCCACAATTCCTAGACAATGATCTCAGAGTGTATAGACATTGTTTGGATAATCAAGTATTATCAACGGTTAAGGTACATTGTCAAACGGATTCATATAACATAAATTAATAAATTACTAGCAAAGTCTTCATATTATATATATATATATATATATATAATTTATATTTTAGCCACTAACCAAAATATTAAAACCAAAGGAACAGAGATCGTCACTAGACGGAATAAAAGTCGGACAGCGAATTACATCTAAGAAAAAAAAGCGAAGATCTCGCTGGAGTATTGGTTCCTTACCGCTAAAGAAAAGAGATAAGAGAAAATCCGATGTATTAAATGTTGATCAAAACGTTATAGATTCCAATTCGAATTCCGTTGATAGCCACTGTAAAAACAGCTCTAGGAGTTCTTCCAAAGCTTCGGAAAGGAGTGTGCTTGGTAAATCTTGTTTTACAAATGACTCGGTAGTTGCGAAACAGGAAAGCAATTTCCATCAAATTAAAAGTGAAATTATACATAATTTAAAAATTGAGGCGGAGGAAAACAATAAGAAAACAGAGGTGAATATATATATATATATTTTTTTTTAATATGTTAATTCACTCACTACTTATCTATAATTAATGTCATAGAAAAAATTGTTTATAAAATAAAATATATATTTGTTAAAGGGAATAGTGGTGGTCAAAGATGACTTAAATAAATCCGTGAAAACATTTTTTAAAACTGAGGATTCTTTTTCTAAGGAAAGCAATTTTTTAACGATTGATGATTTATCAAAGAGTTCGAAAACCGACGATGAGAAACTAGAGGAAATGAGTTCTTTAAATGCCTCCAAGAACAGCGACAAGCCTGGAGATATGAATGTACAATTACTTTTAAGCTTAGGGAAGGATGTAAATATTTCTAAATCCGACGATGAGAAACTATCAGAAAATAAAAAATGTGACGCGTCGTCTGATAACGAATTTCTAATTGACGAACTAAGTTTAGACAAATGGAGAAATATGAGAAAGCCAAATATAGATGGAAACCTTACTAATTCCGATACCGATGACGTTTGCAATTTGACACTTAATAACTCGAGAGCAAGACGAAGTGCTCGTATAAAACATATTTCGGAAATCAAGTCAGTAATTGATAATCCAGAAGATACATTAGAATCGTGTAAGAACGAGGACTTGTCGTCGATTGATTTAAGGGACAGATTATGTAGAGCTTCGCCTGAATTAGATGTATGTTTTATATAACATGTAAAAATTAATAGCCCTATTAAATATAATTTGATTAGACGAACATTCATGTTTATATAATTTTATTTTTAAAGGGGAATTATTCGAATGGACATTTGAACGGGAAGGAATGGAAAGTAAGGGATTTTAATGAATTAATCAATGATCTCAGTATATCAAATTTTCAGCTTGTTGCTGATAGTATAGATAGTCTTAATGGTTTGATTGAGTTCATCACATGTGACAAAAGAATACCGGATTTCAATACTATTAAAGATGTCAGTACTGTATTGTGAAAACAAACAACAAAAAAACACGTATTTAAGAAGTTAATGTATAATTTAATTTGAATAATTATTTGTTGTAATTTTCATTGTAGAATTTTGTTCGACCAGTGTGCGAAGAAAAACTTTTAATTAGAATGAAGATATTATTTACTTCTTTAAGGAAAATGGAAAGCACATTAAAAGAATCGACAAAAAAAGCACGAAATAAATTACAGAGAGAATGGAATAACTTTGAAAATGGGTAATTATCTTTATTAATTGTGAATGAAAATTATAATAAAAATTAAATTAAATTTTATCTCTCCTCAAGGCTATACCATGTTATCGTTGTTTATTATGATATAATTTAATTTTGATAAAGTATATACGAACAGTTTATTTCATTACCGTTTTATGAAGAAAAAAAAATGTTAATTATAAATTCAATAGTTTTAGGTTATCAGGTTGGTTTAACCAATGCATGCTTTAAAATATAAATAAAGTAGATGGTTTCGTCGTTTATTACTAATATAAATTGTATGAAAGTATCTTTCAATTTTTATTTATTCATTATATTACAATTCTAACTGAATTAACGTTAAACAATTTGAAAAAAAAAAAAAAAAAAAAAAATTATATGTCTAAAGTATTAAAAATATCATCATACCTTCTTTTATAAGTCTTATAAATTTATATAAGTGTAAATTTAGAGAATATGTGGTTCTCCTTCATATTAACCTGTCATATTAACCAATATTATATTTATCATTAACTATTTTCTATTTTCTTTTTATTATATCGCTTAATTTGTTATCTTTATTCTCGAAAAAGGATATAGACAAAAGGTAATAATTATTTCATTTTTACTCAATTTTTCTCTAATATACATCATTTGATACTATTATTGTACGAAAATTCGGAAATATTTAATTACTTGCTACTTGAATTTGTTTGTTTGATATGTTTAAGTATAAAAATGTTTAAAATCTTAATATTTCGTGATTTGTCTGTATCCTTTAAACGCTGATCCTACAACCCGTCAAAACCACAGTCCTCTTTTATCGTCTCTTGCAGGCACGGGAATGAAAATCTTTTATATCTTGTAGTTTTATTAAGTAATTGATTTTGTAGGACACAATATTTGCAACTAGAAGTTTACTTTTTATTCGGTTATGCTTTTTTTTTTTTTTTTTTTTTTTTTTTTTTTTTTTTTTTTTTTTTTTTTTTTTTTTTTTTTTTAATAGACTGTAAGATTAGCGAGCAAGAATTTTTGAAAAATAAATGTCTTATAGGCAAAACTTTATAATATTTCAAATGTAAAATAACTGATAGTAAGCTTGGATTTTATTTAACATTATTTCTAAATATTCATAGCTTATTGTAAAATTATTGCTACTTCATTATACTAAGTCGAATTGTATTTTTGTAGGAACGACGTATTCTTAATTTTTTCATTAAAAATAACTTCATATTCACTTTTACATACGGCTGCTCAACATTTATATTGAAATTATTTAACGAATAAATTCCAATATTCAAATGTAATGGATAAACTCTTCGTTATTTTGTTTTTTTTTTGTTTTTTTTTTGTTTTTTTTTTCCACAAAAACTTTTAAATCTTAAAAAAGTTAACCATATGGAATGATGCATTGTTTTGTGCTCTACAAAAAAATATAATTGATTTCAATTCAATATTGAGAAAGTAAAAAGGTTAAGCCTGTGTCTGCACTCTCGTAATTGTAATACGAATTGTCGTAAACGTAAACGGCACGAGACGAATTACTCTCTGAATTCCAAAATAATGCAAATTAAAAAGAAAATTAGCCGTTGATAATGGTTACATAGAATATTAATCTTTTTTTCAAATATCTACGCACTCTACTGTAAATAATAAATAGATTTTTTATTCTAGAAGAAATTCGTTTATAAAAGTATAACGGACTTTAATAATCACTAATGCTAATTCTGCTGCGAGAAATTTCTTTTATTACAAGATATATAAATATTCACGTAAATTTAACTACATATAAAATTATTCATTTTTTATATTTATTTATTTGACTTGATTTATTGTGACTATTTATTTGAAATCTTAAAGCCTTAAAAGTCCTTCAATTATGAATAAAAAGCAATTTTTTCAAAACGTAAAATAATAGTTAAAGTTTAAGAAACTTTGCCCGATCTATCTATCAATTTATTAAGATTAATGTCATATAAACTTTATGGCAAGCAAATAATATTGAAGAGTCACAAAGACATATTCTACTATTCATTTTGTATCAGTTTTAATTATTTCAATACCTTCATATGTTATATTTTAAATAAATAATTCAAGTTAAACAAAATGTTATCTAAAGATTATTAGATTAAAAAAAAAAAAAAAAAAAAAAATTTTAAAATTAAAAAATTAAAAAAAAATAGAATAATAAAGTGTATATACAGATTGTACGAATACTTTAGACTATGTAGAAACTAAAAATAATTTTTCGAGTCCATTTTTTCCCCTTATCGATGGAATTCAAAGAGAACCCTGGCGTATATTATGTTTGTACTATTCTGTAAAGCAACTGTGCAAAAACAAAAACAAAAAAAAAATAAATAAACTGTAAATAGATATAGACGAGTGTAAAGGTATGTAAGAGAATAAGTCAAAAATGAAAAGAGCAAAAGTAAATTTGAGAAGGAGGACATGTGTATTGTGGGAACATATTCATCAAGCGAGACTTAAAAACTTAAATTACTAAAATTCTTTAAATAATAATGCGTTATTCATGATAATATTATAAATTGATAGTTATTAAAATATCTTAAGTATTTAATTGGGTTTGCTTGATTGACACTGATTATTTTTCATATAATAGACCGTAAAATCATGTTACACCTTATGTTGTATTTATAAGTCGCGAGGAATGTTGAAATGAATACTTGTCCCGTCGATCGCAACATCTAATCCCCACAATTCCAAAAACTCCTCCAAATTGCTCGCTACACTACTATTCTCTCGCATATCGAATGCCCTCGGCTTTGCAGTTGTACCCTCGCAGCAAACTTTCCAGAACATGTACCGCATAATCAGCATCCGCCGGGGTAACTGTGCGTTTTATAAATGTGTTGTAGCGTGGCGGACGAGGTTGAAGAGGACAAGGACGGATCTAATCATTGGGTGGTCGGCTCGCAGGGCTATTCGCTCCACGTCCTCGACCAAAATCGTTCATCGGCGTTATCGCACTCTGCCTCATCCTCAGCTGGCTCTCGAAAGTCTGGCTCAAAAGCGATCGCGGGAGCTTCATTTGCAGATACTTTTGAAACGCCGGCCTCGGCCTTATACAACCGGAAGGGGAGGCGAAAGCGAAGGAAGCAAGCCCGCACGGACAAAGTCCCGATCTGCAAGGAGCACTTCCCCGCCAAGGTCGATAAGGCAGACGAGGCCGGTGAGGCCAGTGAGGCCAGCGAGGCCAGCGAGGCCAGTGAGGCCGACGAGAGTAAAGCCGAGAAGGACGGAACAAAACGAAGCTCCGAGAATAAAGTCGTCGAGGATCAAGTCGGCGAGAATAAAGTCAGCTCTAGCGACATCCTCGAGAATAAAGTCGACAACGGTCACACCAACGGCCACGCCAACGGTAACGCCAACGAGGAAGAGGAGACAAACAAGAACACGGACAGCGGGGGTAATGCTCTGCGTGGCAATTTGTATTAGTGGAGTTTCTTTATCCATAATTTACCATCTACAATCGAGAATCCAGGATTCAAATGACCTCTTCTACAGTCTTGCAAATCTTTTATTTGACTTTTCATTGTATTCTAGTTGTTATTGTTATTATATTATAATTTTATATAATTATTAAGCAGTGATATATAATATTAATAGAATTTAATGAATAAGAGGGGGCTAGTGAAAGTTCATAAGAGCATCTAGAAAGTGAGCGTATTAACTATTTCTATAAAGCTCCTAAATTCATAGGGTGCGAGAATTATTTGTCCGTAGCCTTGAATCTCTTTTTCTCTCTCTCTCTCTCTCTCTCTCTCTCTCTCTCTCTCTCTTCAACGGCTAATGCTTTCAATTCGTTGATACGGACACGAGCGATTATTAATTATCATTTTATAATTATGTAAAATCAATCTAGATGATATTTATAAAGTTTTTTTTTTTTTTAAATAGTACCTCTATGCCACGGTCTTTAACATAAATATCAATTGCAATCACTGGATAATCAATTGTTCTTAAATGTGAATAGAATCTATTAAAACGACGAGAGTCCTGCGAGCGCGAGGTGTCTCTTCCTACACCGAACAATTGTTCTTTGACGAGGAAAGCGAAGAGGATAAGCTGGACGGGTGGGCCGACATTGAGGCAATCTACGCGTCTCCCAGCGCACAGATCAGTACATCCGCTCCTAACACTCCTACGAAGGCCCGGGATTCATGCAACGATTCGGAAAAAGAGGACTCAGACCAAGATTGGATTTTACCTAGCTCTCGCAAAAGGAAAAGTAAACGTCCGTGTGAGTATGCGAGCGGTTTTATTAAGACAGCCAATTCATTTTGGATAAACGATTGATTGTATGGACCGATGTTGGACATTTCGTTATTAGCTGTGTTATGAAGAAACGTTAATTATTTCATGGGGGAATTTCTACAACTGCTCGATTGCTTTCATTTCCGGGCTTATTCGACTTGTATTTATATATAAGATAACATGGCAAATCGATAATATTAAACGAGCCTGAAATTATTGAACAATGGTTTATATTAAAGTACGTGGACGACCGACCGATCATACGCGAATGCAATTAAAAACTCTCAATGATTAAACATAATGAGCGACATATTAAAATAAATAATGGCGAATCATTGATAGATTTTTAATAAAATCGGTTTTTATTAATTATCTGTTCCTTTGACATAATCTGCTAAACGCTCCGGTACGGTAACTATTAACTGTATATATATATATATATATATATATATATATATATATATCATAGATTTTAATATCCGCACCATGTAAATATATGATTTTGTAAAAATATAAAGCTATTTTATAAGAAAAAGTTTAAAATATTTATACAAATTTTGGCCCTTTTCAGCGGCAAGTCGACGATTAAAGTCATTCCAACATAAATTACAAAACATCAAAATTGATCAAAATACGGAAGCTAACGATGATCAGCAACAGCAGCCGTTAATTATCAATGATGCCAAAGCTTTACAGTCCCAAACAGCTCCAGAAATAACAACAATTTTTGAGCCTCCCGCCAAATCAGAAACCAAACCAGTCGCCAAATTAGCCATGAAACCAAACCAGTCACCAAATCAGCCACCAAATCAGCCACCAAATCAGCCACCAAATTTATTCCGCAATCGCTTTCCAATCAAGAAATAGATAATAATGTAACAGTAGTAGCAGTTACTTCAAGTGGTTCTTCAATTCCAACAGTGCCTTTAAATCCCATTAAAATTGAGTCACAAGAGACGAAATTACATTCAGTGCTGGATATCAAGGACGAAGGTCCTATTTACGACTCTCCAAATACGAATCAAAATATTAGTTGCGTTCAACCAAATTATGTAGTTGTAACAGCAGGACACGCGCCCGTTACAAATTATTATGTTATGCATCAAAATACCGTCGCGTCAGCCGTTATGCAGCAAAATCAGTTCATTCAACCGACTGCTTTCGTATCTCAAATGGTACCTCAGGTAAAATAAAATTTACGAATTCATTTGTGTAAGCTTTCATTGGCAAATACTCTTTTCACGATGAAGGACAATATTGTTCTTAAGCGCTAGCTACGAGCAATAAACTTTAAATAATTAAAATTTTCTGCATCTCGAAATTAACGTTTATGTAGTTTATGTAGTACGAGTATACATAAGTAAGTTACTTTGATAAAAAAAAAAAAAAAAAAAAAAAAAACACACACACACACAGAAAAAGTAACGAGTTTTAATGAAAAATGAAAAATGAAAAAATTTCATACTAACTCATTCGTACTAACGATAAAATTGAATATCCCTGATTTTTTTTTTTTTTTTTTATTACTCTTTCATAAATTCGAAATATCGGCGTTTGCCAAGGAGTAAAGTAAAGCGAGGGTCCTTTTAATCATCGTAGAGATGGTTTAACAGTATCGATTAATATCTATTTATGTAAATGAAAAAACAACATCCGGTCAGCGATTAAGCATTGAAATTAGTCGGATTAATATCAATATAATTAAGATATCCAGTTTGTTCGTTTTTTTCTTTTTCTATTCAATTCTATTTTTAATGCTCTTCCGTTTTCAAGTAATCCAAAGTACAAAAGAAAACTATTTCAACGCAGGGTTACTACGTACAGCAGCAAGCCGGACAAAACTACCTAGTGCAAAGTCCCTCGGGAATAATAACAACCGGACCTCGACAAGCATTTATAGCCCCCAGTACTCCGCAAATGGTTTATCAAACACCTCCACCGCCGCCGCCACCTCAGTCATCGCAGCAGCAGCAGCAGCAGCAGCAACAACAACAACAACAACAACAACAACAACAACAACAACAACAACAACAACAACAACAACAACAACAACAACAACAACAACAACAACAACAACAACAACAACAACAACAACAACAACAACAACAACAACAACAACAACAACAACAACAACAACAACAACAACAACAACAACAACAACAACAACAACAACAACAACAACAACAACAACAACAACAACAACAACAACAACAACAACAACAACAACAACAACAACAACAACAACAACAACAACAACAACAACAACAACAACAACAACAACAACAACAACAACAACAACAACAACAACAACAACAACAACAACAACAACAACAACAACAACAACAACAACAACAACAACAACAACAACAACAACAACAACAACAACAACAACAACAACAACAACAACAACAACAACAACAACAACAACAACAACAACAACAACAACAACAACAACAACAACAACAACAACAACAACAACAACAACAACAACAACAACAACAACAACAACAACAACAACAACAACAACAACAACAACAACAACAACAACAACAACAACAACAACAACAACAACAACAACAACAACAACAACAACAACAACAACAACAACAACAACAACAACAACAACAACAACAACAACAACAACAACAACAACAACAACAACAACAACAACAACAACAACAACAACAACAACAACAACAACAACAACAACAACAACAACAACAACAACAACAACAACAACAACAACAGATTGTCCAAACGACGCCGAGCTACGTGCAATATGTTGCCGCGCCCCAGCCGAATCATCGGACCACAATGTCGCAGCCGCGTATAATTAACACGACAACCCTGTCGCCGCCACGTCAGATAGCTTACAGAATGAAAGTGCCGATCCCCGTACAGAACAACAAGATCGCCTTACCAGCCAGGCAACAGAGCTTCCCGCACCCCAACGGCGCGGTAATAAGGAGCACCCCACTTACACCGAATGTCCTGAGGCCTGGACAAAGGACCGTACCGAGATCCATTGCGCCGAGACGTCAGGTACGTAAGTCATTGCATTAATCATTATTATTGTCGTCCCATTGACATCATAGCACATAAATTCGGAATTTCGCAAGCTCTTCATGGCTATTCGCTAAGAAAAATAATTCTCTCTCTCTTTTATCCGCTTCTCTATGAATATCTATGAATATCTGTTAAATCTCTATACGCATCTACTGACTTTTAAGAGCATTTTGTATTTGTATTTATTTAAGTATTTATGCATTAGAATTTAGTTATAACTGTAAATGTCACACTACCATCAAAGCAACGATATATTATATCGACAAATACAATTGCGTTATTTTTCTATAGTTTCTAGCAAAATTCAAATTTAAATTCTAACGTTAGGCAAGTATTTATTAATTAAGTATAGTCTATTTTGCATTCGAGATGTACGTCGTTTTCAAATTATCTCACAAATATCTATTTGATATAATAGGCCATTCAAAAGCAACTGAATTCAACGCACCAGGCGGTGAAGCCTAAATCCAAAGTGCCGAAGACTGCCAACGCTACGTCACTGATAGTCCTGAGCGACAGCGACGATGACATTGAGATGATCGTTACGGATAAGAGGAGCAAGAACGGCGCAGAACGTGAGGAGAGCAACGAGGTCAGTCACGAGTCACCGAAAGAGAGCAGTGACGTCGACTCGCAATCACCGAAGGTAAAGAACGTCTTGCCCCCGGAGCTGCTGCAGCGCATGATTGAAAGCGGCGTCTCGATCAGTCCTGTGAAACCGGTGCAAACGACCGCCTCCCAAATCACGCAACTCGTCGTCGTCGTCAATGAGACCGGCAGCCATTACGCTCTCGCACTGCCCAATGGTAGTAAATTGATACTTACCCCCGAGCAGGTCGCGCAAATTCGCGCCTCCAATGGTGGCAAACTTGTCTTTTGAAGAATTCCCGAGTAAAGCTTGCTCATCCCTTTTTGGCACTATTTACTTTCTCATTAAGGAGATCGGATGAGAGATACCAGTACTTTTTGGAAAAACAACGATTTTACTGAAATTGCTGAATACGCTGATTAGTCGTTTCCTCCCTCCCTATCCCTATCCCCATTACCAGCCCCTGATCGACTCTCCTCCCCCCCCCCTCACCATTCGACATTTTAACGAAATTAAAGTTATTTGTTTTTGAATTTATTAGTCGTTAAGTTAATCCTAATGTAAATGATTTGAGATATTTTAATTAATATTTTGTTAAATGATAATAGACGTATAATAATAATTCATCTCCTATAAATTCGCTATATTTCGCTATGAAATGCGTTTTATTGGAAAGCTATAAATATACGAGAAAGTTCTCCTCATTCATTAAATAACAAATGTTTATTCGGATTTATTTAATTCGACGCATTAATGAATAATCACAAAAAAATTATATTAATATTCAAATAATTATATTTGAGATGATTATATCCATTTCATATACTTAAACGTTAAAGGTACAAAATTTGTATTGGCGTAACGATATACTTGAGTTTGTGAAAAATTAATTGCTATACTTTGAGAACGACGAAACTCCTCGTTATATTAACAATATCAACTTTACTTTACATACTGCGATTTCGATATTTTGTGCCTTCAATTTTAGTATTAGCTGATAATTTAAAAAATTATAGTTCTTTATTCGGATAAAGTATTAATATATATATATATAATTAAATGTATGCTTCAATCATTATAATGAATAATTATATTCGAATATTCTATTAAATATGATAAGCGTTATTTTATTTTAGCCAGCGGAATTTGCCTAGAAAATTTTGTTCACGCTTCAATGTTTTAAAAGAATATTCGTTATATTTATTGCAATATAAAATGACAAATTTTTGTCATTATGATATATATGTTTAATGGCCCAAATAAAATGTATGTTACGAAAAGAATTATGTTTTAATAACGAGTATAATGAATATTTTCATTTATTGCTATTTGTGATAGACAAAATTAAATTTTGCTATGAAAAATGTTTGCTTGAAATGCACATTTAAACTATATATAGTATTACTTAAAAATTATTGTACTTATGTGTACATATTACACATATAAATATCGGTGTTGACTCCAATTATTGTAATATTGAATTTTCATAAATATGAGATTTGATCGTATAATTTTCTATATCAAAATTCCTTATAATTACTATTAAAATGTTCATTTGACATAGTTTTATACGATATGATTAAGATTTATATAACATTTATTGACAAAATATAAATACTCGGCTGACATATAAACAAAAATTTGAAAAATAACGTATCCTTCTGTCGTTGCGTATAAGTAATCTTAACGTACCTTATCGTTAAAAAACTTTATATATTTTTTATTTTGGCACAAAATTATATATATATATATAAATTATATATTTTGTTTGTTTTTTTGTGTGTGTGTGTGTGTGTGTGTGTGTGTGCGCGCGCGCGCGCGCGTCTGTGAAATTTTAGAGTAAATTTCGTTTACAGTTCCAATTTATTTTGACTTAAAAAATTCATTTTTATAATATTCCCTAAGTCTTGAATGAACGTATTGTAAATACGATATACTTCAAACTTATACCTAAGTATTAAATATAACATAAAGCTTTTTATTAAATAAACTTTGTGATCATTAAATTATAAACACATATTGTCAATATATAACTACATAATAGCATATATAAGTTGTAAAAAGACAACTAAGCGATTCGCTGTGTCCATCACTGTATGTAGAATATAAAATAGTATTAATAATGTAAGGTAATTGTGAGATCATAGGTAAATTGATTAATATAATTTAATTATTTGCTTTTTATAATTACACGAACCTGTCTATTAATGTTAAGAGAAGAAGAAAAAAAATTTGTATCTGCTCCCATGCATTATTATTTACAATTATATAATTCTTAGACGATGGTATAATCGATAATTATTTTTTTAAATTAAAATAAAACCTATTTTATGTATAAGTACAGGATAATTACATCGATAATTGTAATGTGAGTTTAAATACATTTTTAAATTAACTAAATTGAATGTTTATTATTAACGTACCTGCCTCGATATCCCTACGCGATAAATAACATTATCGGTCTTTATAATCAATGTTAATATGATGGTTAATGGTTTCTGGTAATATTATAAAAACAGAAATTTAGTTTAAAAGTAGCTGAATTATAATTTGAATTTAGAGTATCGAGTGAAAGGAGTAAAAAAAGAAATTTCAATTATATGAATTTATTAACAAAATTTTTGATATAATAAATTTATTATATTAATATACGTGTATATTTACGTACGTATGTAATATACACGCGCGCACATATTTACGTATATTATACGTATATACATATATATATATATATATATATATATATATATATATATAATTTATTAATAAAATAAACAATTTAATATATTTTAACAACTATGGTTTGTATGGTAAAACAGTTTTAAAAACAATCACAGCATTAATTGAGCTTTCATATGTACGACGGTTTATAATAAATTTCACTGTAGAAATATTATTGATTATTGATTATTATTATTGTTATTGATTATTATTATTTTTTTATTATTTTTTATTATTATTATTATTATTATTATTTATTATTTTTTTTTTTTTTTTTTTTTTTTTTTTTTTTCTTTTTAATAAATTTAGATAAAAATTTCATACGACACAGTTAATTAACTGTCTACATATTAGAGGGCGTGGAGGTAGTAAGTGATGATGTACTCTTTTTCATTTAGAACAATGAGAAATTAAGTCTTCTTTACTTTCTTAATGAAAATGTCATTGTCGGTTGCCATGAACTTCTTCAAGCGAGTGCCATTGTATGGGGTATTACTACCCGGTGGATGGAGTCTCATCTGAAACAACGTGGTACCTTGATAATTTTTATAGATTAATTTCACTTAATCTTTACAAAATCCAATCGTTCGTATTATTTGGAATTTTGAAGAGCATTCGTTAGGATTAGGAAGTAAAAATGGAAGAAAAAAAAAATTCTTTAACCAACGCTCACTTTTCAGCGATTGAATGAAATAAGTTTAATCGAGAAATTTATTGAACTAATGTCACACTCAATAATTAAATAATAATCGACCGATTATAAACTTGTAATTAAGTATTGGAGATTATTTTATTAATTTAGAACATCGGTGACGTAGTATTTTCCAATGCTGGTTGGTTGATAAAATGCAATAAATGTTGGAATTACGTACCCATTTTTCGTTGATATTCCGTTGTAAGATTAGGCAAATTTATTATTGAATAGCATTAAAAGAAAATCTACTCGTTGATATAAACATAGTATATACATAAAAATAATTATTTATAAAAATAGTGTATCTGTTTTTGAAGAATGTGTATAAGTTTTTGAGGGAAAAGTTAGTCGATACGAAGAATGAAAAATAAAAAAATTTTCCATATTTTTTTTAAAAACAAATCTACTGAAATCGATCACTATACTGTCAGTTAAAGTAAAGTACAATAGTATCGTTACAAAGTTTGTGGTATGATGTATGTATGTTTGAGATTATAATCTCTGTGCGCGGGTGTGCGTGTGTGATTAGACATTAGTGTATTATTTACCTTTATTAAATTATTGTTAAATAATTCATCGTGCGTGATGAGAAAGCATAGATGTTAGTTGTGTAAACGTAACCGTAACCAAATTATAAATGTTATAATAAATGAAATGTAGTGAAATAAAGCATGGATACGATATCGTGGAAAAGACTTGAATTTTATTACTTCGATCGCAACACTTTTACAATTGACGTATTATTATTAATTGTAAATAAAAGTAGTAGATGTAATTTTGCGATGACGAGAATCTAAATGAGCAATTTTCAGCCTCGGCTGCTGAACAATACTAATACACAATCACAATAAACAAATAATAGAATGGTCCTTTTTTTTTTTTTTTTCTTCTTTATTTCTTTTAGCGTATTTCTAATTATAAAATTATACATATATCGGCTGAATTTCACTTTTCTCCGTCGTACACTAAAAATCATAAATACATCTAAATTTCAAATCAATATATGCTTTGAAATATGAATAGTGCTTGATTAAAATGTTTTAATTCTGAAATTAATGAAGAGTATAAAACGAACTGCATTGACAAACTTAATAATAATAATAATAATAATAATCGACTCACGCATCATACATCCAATATATTAAATATATGTTAATACAATATTCTTATCGAATGAGTGAATATATGTTTTATAAAGACAGCGGTTCACATAAATTATTATTGAAATGGCAATGTATTCATATATTACAGAGACTAAATTGAATATATGAAATTAGATTCTCGTCAAAATACAGTTAGAATACATAATGAAATACATTTTAGTTTGAAAAATGTCCTCAATTTATTTTTTTTTTTCAATGCGAGAAAACGGTTGGTGCTTCAAGTTCTATACGAAATACATCAATTATTCATTATTCATAGATTGTTTAACAAGAAATTGAATAAACCAATATATCTTATAAGCGTCGGAGATTAAACGATTACTTTGAAAGTTGAATCGAGCATAATTCTCGTCAGCCTCGTATATTCTCATCGTTAAATTATATTCCCTCAGCCTCGCACGTTTAAGTATAATTTTTAACAGAATTTCAATTAAAAATTCAAGAATCTACGCGAACTTTACACCAACATTTATCCACGCATACATTTTATGCGGTACATTTGAATATTAGCATAGGTGGTTATGAAATAATATACAAAATTGCGCGCCCGTGCTTTTAGTTGCTTCAGCTCTTAATTTAAATATCGATAATGGGGGTGGGGTGGGGGTGGGGATGGGGGGATGCCTGGTAGCTGCGTCGTATGGCCTATTTGTCTGTGTATTCGTTGTCAATCGGCAATTGCTGATCACCATCCACGTTCCTCAGTCGCTTCTGCAATTAAGAGAACAAAAAACAATGCCAACACCCTACTCGCAATTGTGGAATTAATTAATTAAAATAAGACTCGCGACTTTCTAACGACTGGCCTGCGCAAACGCGTCTCATGACAATTACGTCTAAAGGCAATATAAATTATTAGACAAAATGCGTGACATATTCACAACTTTTAAGCTTTCGCATTTCACACAATGATTCATAACAATTTTGCTGGGAAGTTTTCAATTTAATCCTTAAGTAGCTTTAAATAAAAAGCAAAAAGATGCAAATTTCTTGTGCGATATAATTCATAAACAAGTTGCGATAGCAATAATAAGATAAGTATTATCTTTTAATAGAATGTTTATTTAAAAAAAAAAAAAAAAAAAAAAAAAAAAAAAAAAAATGAATTAAATAGACTGTATTGTATAATTAATTGTTGCCATTGGAAATGGAGTCTTATTTTAATCAAATGACATGAGGTTTTAGGAAGGCGTTAATTAATTGCGTTAAAAAAGGTGAGTTGTGGTGGGCGGATGGGTGGGGCCGGGGGGGGGGG